CATTGTGTGTTTGTTGGTACCGGTTCCACAATCTGCTGATCACAGACTGTGACACATTAAGCATGTTGGCCACTGCTCGCTGTGTAGAACCCATTTGAAGCATGCCAATAGCACGTAGACGTTCATCATGTTGAAGACGCCTCATTGCAAATTAAACGTAACACACTAAAGCAAAGATACGCTATGCAAGAACCGATAGGAAAACAGAAATGGATAGGATAAACCAGCACGCGGCAGTTTTCATCAACCCTCCCTTGAAGTGTCAAATTTGACAATAAACCTTTCCCACGTGTATGGCGCTATTGCGTGTCGCACGTGCAGCTCAGTGGTTCTGTTGGGGCGATATGTTCTTCATCTGTGAACATACCCTCAAAGCATGTCAAGTGTCCTTGACTATTATATCACAACCTGCATAGGTATTGACATTTCAATATCTCCTACTTTTTTGAAGAGTATATAATGATAATTAATGCGGAGTTGTAATATTAGTCGATTAATGTGGATTTGTGTAGATTTGTGCTGTTGGTGGTAATTGGTGAACAAATCTACCAATTAAACTTCCTAGGCGGGATAACGAGAGGTCGAGGGAGCGAGAACGCGGGGATATTCAAAGGCGAGAAAGCGAGAAGTCGAGGTAAAATATGGCGACGATTTAGATCATATTTGAATGGCCGCTAACAGCCACCGCAGCCTTGCGAATATTCACTGCTGAACAATTTGTTCCGGATGCGTACTTTTAGTTTATTAATCAATACAAGGCAGTTTATCTTTTTTTATAAACTAAAGTAGTCAGGGAACGAAACTTTACTCCCACAGCAGTTAAATCGTCCGACGGTCGACAAGGGTTGTCGCATATTTATACTTTGTAGGTAATAGGGCGCATTTATAAGACAATTTCATACAGATCAGTTCGTGATTTTCGTCGTTTGAGGGTTAAAAAGGTTCTACAAGCTCAAACAAAGGGCCTTATCTCTGGAAGTAATTTACAGAAATTGTTGCAATTAGACAAAATTTTGAGTTTTACTAATCTAAATAATGCATTTAAATTTTATACAGATCGGATGATGACTCTTGGCGTTCGAGCGTTCACAAGGTTCAACAAAGTCAAACAAAGGCCATGATTTTAGACGTAATTAACGGAAATTGCTGATTTTGGTAGGATTCTTTGTTTTACTAATTCAAATGATCATAACTTTTGCTGTTAGAGCGTCCACGAGGTTCAACAAAATGAAACAAGGGCCATCACTTTATTAACAGAAATTACTGAAATTCAATAGGCTTCTTTGTTTCCCTAATTTGAATTATGTCGTTAGAGCGTTCACGAGGTTTAACAAAGTGAAAAAGGATAATAACTCGAGATGTAATTAATGGAAATTGCTGAAATTCACTAATTTAAAGGATGCATATAAACTTCATACAGATCGGACGACAACTTTTGTTTAATCACTGACTAAAACTAATCACGGACTACACGTATTATCAGGTGCTTTTGTTATTCATGTCCATGAAGCCCCTGCAATTTTTACGCCAAATTTAACCTTAGTTACTACGTCCGTATTTTGCAAAACCGTATATGACATAGAACCGTATATGGTAATAGTATTTGAAATCGTTGATTGGCTGATAGCGATCTATTGTTATGCATAGTCATCGGAAAATTCCATATTCGCCCGTGAATTTCAAATGGAGTCGTGATAAAAGTTGTTCTCAGAGTATACAAATGGTGATAGGAGGGTTTCCTCCCACTGCTAAAGAATCCTATGCGCATTTATGAAAAACTAGCAATTTATGGGGTTATATATAAGCTACTTGCTTGGATCTATTCATTTGCCACGTCACCTATTTTCTCAAAGGCAGCTTACTGGACTTACTCATAATCAGCTGTTATATTTACGGGATTATCAAATTCACCGTTAAACGGTAACAAACTTAGTCTCCATGGGGGTGTGAACGAGTCCACCAATGCCGTTTGGACGACCCAACCAATTTTTTTCGTAAAAATTACGTTTATAATTTCTTATTAAACAATTAATATCATTTTTTATTTTCCGAAATGCATTCCATGGTTTATGCTTCACCCAGAGGGTGTCTAGTGGTCTAATAGTCACATTCTTAATCTGAATATTATTTTTTGCAATATTAATCAAGTATGTAAATCTGAAACATCCTCGGTGGCTAGGGCGTGCGCGTTACATCAAAAGGCCATTGATTCAACTGGCGTGGTTTCGATTCCCAGGATGTACGTGACAAGGAGTAGGGTCGCCTGTCCAACCTCGTGGGTTTTCTCCGGATGCCCCCCCCCCCACACACACACACACACTGCTAATTATTGAAATAAATTTGAACCATAAGTTAGTCTCGAAATGACCTAGTTTGTGTCGAGTGTCTCTCTCTATCTCTCTCTCTCATGCATGGCTTTTAGGCAGGGAGTACACAGCACAGTGGTCGCTACAGAAATTATCCAAACAACCGGTTGTTTTAACAAAATACGGGCAATTAGTTAAAATTAGATGAAGTATTGAATTTCTACCGTGTTCTTTATATCTAGTTGGGGAGTTAATTAATTGTTTAATTTTAAAATGTTGACTATTTCATGAATAAAAGTATCCGTTACCTGACAAAAATCTTTATTAATATCACCCATGATTAAACATTTCGATATATCATCTAATACAACCAAACTAATAGAATTTAAAATAAAATAATTTACCCGAGAAGGACTACTTGGAGACCTATAAAATTTCCCAAATAAAAATATATTACTTTTAGTATGAATTATGATCCAATTAAACTCCGTATTGTCAATTTATATTTCAAAGTATATATTTCTAACATAAACTGCTACCCCCACCACCCTTGTTTGGTGTGCGGTCTTTCTTAACTGGTGGTTAAGACGCTGGCTCGCTAGCCTGGAGGTGTTCGATCCCTGCATTAGCCAAGAAGGTTCATTCAGATTTTCCGACGTAATGCAGGACGGAGGGCCTGGCAATGACAGCTGTCTAGTTGTTCGGGTGTGACGAAAATCCGAGGCCCCGTGTACACATTGGCCTGCACGTAAAAGATCCCTTGACAGTTGGAATTCGATATAAGAGTAGGCCGTAATTCGGAGCAGAATAATAGGATGTTAACCCCAGGTTATTTCATTTCATTTCCTAACTGGTACTTGGTAAGATGGAATAGAGACTAAGTTATCAGGAATGTCTGCTTTTAACCAAGTTTCAGATATTAAGAGAATATCGTAACTATCTGACTCTAAAGAGATGAAGTCAATCTTACATGTGATTTCTTGGTCTATAACATTCTTTGAGCATCCTGATGATCTAAGTCATTATAGATTGAAGAGTGCTAATTTATATCTATTTACTATGTAAAAGTGGGGAAAAGGAGAAGTGCTATAAACAGACGGATTAAATTCTAGTATCGTGAAATGACATTTATTATCCTGGGCGTAATATATTTCATTGGAAGATAATAAGCCACATATAGATTGAATACGTTTATGTTTTAATAGTGTAAAATAAACGTGGTATACCATAGCAACATCTCCGATTGTATATTTATATCAATAAAAAATACACCATACACCATTGACATGTTTCGTAGCCAGCCTCTTCATTCACAATCCGGGTAGACGTCGCCTTTAGTACTTTATTCAATACATTAATACCGAGTCTTAGTGTAGTACAACAATTTATATTTTCAACTTGAATAGTCCATGTTTAGTAGAAAAATATATTATATATCATATTTACATTAGTATGTTTGATTGACGCTTTTATTCTAAAGATGAAATATGTTTTCTTATCGAGTACCTGCCATTCGATCTATAGATTTGAATTACTTCCCTGTTGTTTGAAGTGATTCTCTAAACATCGTCTTTATATTTGAGTTCATTCAATTTTCATTCTTCAAACATCATTTGACTATGTAAATGACACCGTGGGCTCCACTACTTTATAATTACCAGAAATGTAAGATTCTTAAAGATGCTTTATATTTGGACTAATAACATATTCAAACTAATTTGTCTATCCAATTTGTCTTCAAATCCCGCTCGAAACATTATTAATCGCAAGAAAACTTGCTGTGTTTGTCACGTGACTTAATTTAGGGCGAATACATCCAGATTGTATTTGTCATTCGTCGCTGTCCATTAACTTAAATATAGAAGCCTATGCAAATTTTTTGATTATCCTCTGACAACTTATATCTTTTTCGCAAAGTATACTGGACTCATTAGATTAACACATATTAATTATAAAGCGCTCATTACGTAACTCGAGAATACAGACTGACAGTTAGTGATACCCTTACATTTTTGTCACGTGCCGCCCTATGTGTCTTTTTCAGGGAATCCAGAATTTTTGTAATTAGATTGGGTGTCTCTACTTTCCATATATACATAATATGCCATAACTTTATTGAATATAACCATACCCTATAAATAATTTCGTGCGAATGTAATTATTTCTAAAAGCCATATTTCGATTTTATGAAATATATTTATTCTTCGCTGATATTTATTGTCAAAGATGTCTTCTATTCTTACACACGTTTATCAAACACACGTTTGAAGCAACAAAAAGCCTTATAAATCACGTATAATAAAGCAACAAGAAACGTGGACGAGAAGACGAAGGCTATCTCATGTATGCTTATGCATTGATTTAGTAATATCGTGTTATTACTATTTGCATTTATTAACATATAGTTTTAAATTAGACAAAAAAGGATGAAAAATAAACAAGTCAACAGCATAGCGAATACAAATAAATGAATAATTCTGACAGACAATATAAAAGTTGAAAATTAAATGTAGGTATGTATATCCCATATGCTAAACAACGTTTACTATGAGTATAATAGTTGAGTCGTGCATTTTGCACAAAATGATTGAGGGTGTACACTTAATATACCGGACCCAGAAACCCCTATTTATTCATTCATTCATTCATTTCATTGGTTAACATGTACCGTCATATTAAAACCACTCAGGTATCAAGTTTCTACACCAGTTCATTCCCACCGTTTGTTATACCTGCATACAAAATGTTGCCGTATACCACTGTTTGGATTTATAGTTGTATATTTGTTTGTATCCAAGGTCAAGGTATGTTGTTTTATATTATTTATTTCCCTATTTTGGTTTTAAATATATAAAAATAGATGACCATCATAAATGAATAAATAGATAAACAAACCCTTTCCTACTTTACTGAGTGACTGTTTTAAAATATATGTTACAGAGTTCTCGAACTATAATATACATGTATAATGCAGTAATGAAATAGTTTTTTTGACAAACGTTTGACTGGTGTTTATCTTAAATTTCACACCAATTTTAAAAATAGTTTTAAAAAATAATAAAGCCATTATTTCCAACATCTTACTACCCGTTTATACATTCAATAATGTATTTTTCTTTGATGTTTAGTGTGTGTGTGGGGGGGGGGGTGTTAAAAAAAGAAAATTACAATATAACTGTCAAGCGAAAGTAGAAAATATACATACTCTATTACAAACATGACAACGTGATTGTAATAGTCACATTTTAGGTTGAGATAATTGTAGGTTGGTTAAAATTCAATGCTAAATTATTATGGATTATGGGAAACCTATTAAATATAATCAGAATCAAGCAATAATTTTTATTCTATAAACGTGGTAATGGATTTTTTGATGATATAGACTAAAGACATATTCAAGCTTATTTATCTATCAAGAGTTTGGTTCAATTTCCTCTTGATTGGGGAGGATCCATATATAGTGTGTATTTGTCGTTAGTCGCTGTCCAATTACCATACAAATCCATCTAAAAAAAATTTAATTGGAGAATCCATTTTAGCTTGTATTTGTGGTTTTCCATGTTCCCTACATATCGAAGCCTAGTTTATCCCCTGCCAACTTCTTTTATCGCCGGGGGGTTGGATGGCCGAATGGTTAGCACGTGCGTGCTGTATCATAAAGCCTGTTATTGAGTCAACTGGCGTGTTTTCGAATCCCGGGTTGTACGTGACAAGGAGTAGGGTCGCTTGTCCAACTTCGTGGGGATTTCTCCGGGTCCTTCGGTTTCCTCCCACTTCTAAAGACCCCTACGCGCAGGCGAATTAATAAAATAAAATTGAACCATATGTTAGTCCCGAAATGACCTAGTTTGTGTCGAGAGGACGTTAAACCCCATTTCTCTCTCTCTCTCTTTTTTATCGCCCAATTCTCTCAATGTTCTCACAAACGTTAGCTATTAGATCAGCACACAAGACGCGCTCCTTACGTCACATTTTTGTCTTGTGCGCACCCAATGGATGTTTCAGGGATTCCAGTATTTTTCTAGCAGGATTGATATCTGTATTTTCCAAGGAAATACCAAATTTGCAACAATTCTAGTGGAAATAATTACCCAATAGATGCTTTCGTGTGAATGTATCTTCAAGTATAAGGAAATGCTGATACTGAAACCTATGTAACGACTCTCAAAGTAAACTATAGACATGTATATACCTGTTCATGACAAGAATTATTCCAACGGACTGTTATTTCAGTTGTCTGTATTTCCAAAATAATGTTATTCAGTCATCCAACACGTTTTGAAAATAATTAGATTTGTATTCTCTTCCTTGTCTCTCTGTTCGTATGAGTTGAACAACATGCGTAATAATATATTTGATCTAAACGTACTGGACATGGTCATTTTTCAACACGAAGGTTTTGATGTTGGTAGTGGTTTGGTTTATACAAATCAACCAGTCTTATTGTTATCTAAGAAGTTGATTTTAAAATCATGAAATGCAACTACAGCAGAAATGGTTCTATATACTTGGCAGGATTTTGTTTCATGAAAATAAAAGATTGGTTGTAGATATATCATTTATTGTAGCGATTCTGTAATCTCTATTATAAATAATTAATATCCAACATACTAAACAAAATTACGACGCCTATACTTATTAACTCTTGTGCGGACACGTCTCACGAAAAACACTGTCGGCACCAAGGGGTAATCTAAGACCCCAGACACAAATTGTTTTTTGGATGCATAATTTTATTCAAATACCGCCAAATATTTGAGGTATTAAAAGTGACGATATGAATTATAAGGTATTTTTGAAACCATACAAATCTACAAATAACTTCATTTTCATTTCTTCATGTAGAATCGTCTTTTGATTAGGTTGGTAGAGTACCAAGATTTGCTTTCAGATCTAGATTACTAGAATGACCAACACAATATCATCAGTAAGAAAGATTCCAAATACAAAGCTAGCACTGAGCGAAGAACCAGCAAAATGTTGAAAGGAAAGGAGGGGTAAGGGGTTGGTGGTGGTCCAGAAGACATCCTTGTGTCCGACAATGTAATACTCGTAGTTTCTTGTCAAATGATGAATGTTGCCACTAACTCACTTCCGTTCTATTTGCAGCATTATACTCGACATTAAGTAGCTGATAATGTATAAATTTCTCGCTAGACAATTATGAACTAGTTCCTCACAAACGTTAAAGATATGGTCGTAGGGTCCCGAAATACCCCTTGTATAAGCTCGAAGGTTAAACTAAACATGGAGAATACAGCTTTAGTTGATGTAATTTAAATGGATCAATTTGTACCTTTAAAAAACTTAGCTGAGTAGAAAATTGGATGTGATTACTATCTAAACCTTTCATTCTTTATGTTGTCGTTTAAAGTAAATAGTTGATAACCCTAGTGACCAATCGTGTAACAATTACAAGTTTTCACATCTTGGACATCGCTGTTCATAGCTATTGAAGACGCTTTGTACTCTTTGTCTTGAGGGTTGGGTGGCCGAGTGGTCTAGCTCTTTGCTAAGTTAAGCGATCAGTATATTATATCAAACTTCAGGATTATCTGATCGCAAATGATTTTTTGGTTCCCGTACAGTTGGATCAGTTGGTCGCTGTATTCAGGTGTCTGAAAGTAGAACTCAAAGAAATATTAGATGATCAGACTATACTCGAGTATCGAATGATATAATATAATACAGACTCACACCAATCAAATTCTAATTCAGTTGTTTAAGACTTTATAAGAGGGGTGTTGTCTTGTGGTTGGTTTTATCACTTACAGTTTAATTCACTTTCATATTTTGAATTTTAACTTTCGTAGCTTGTGTTGCTTTATACATGAAATATTCTTCTATCTTTCGTTTACTCTTAATTCGTTTAAATATGTAGTATCGGTCTACCTGTATTTCAGAAGTTGACTGTTTTAAACGTATACATTGTTTTGCAAAAGCCATATACAAGTCATATACCTGGAATTAAGGTCATGAACATAATCTTGCTCTCGTAACAACCCTTACCACTGCTTCTGAAATATGCATGTATGGGCACAACATCTCATTTTCTAGCACCATAATGCTACCTGTAAAAACTAATTCGATCTTGATTGGTTTTCGGGGATGTAGAATATCAACACCTGGTCCCTGATTTTATACACGACAATGTTTAAGTACTAACTTAAATATTATGTGCACAGGACCACACCACACAAAAACAAAACCCAACAAAGTCTCCGTATCACACTGGCATTCAATTCAATGTTATTCTAGTATAACGAATTGACGAATATGGGTGTGGCAATGTCTAGCCAATTATCATAAACGCATTCCACGTGTGTATATTTATATAGCCGCCATACAAAACAACATTAAACCCACTTGTTGTCCTTACGATATAATAAAGTGTGGCTTTATTGATACAAATTAGTCAACCATATAAACCGAAATATATGTCTGGTGTATGTGTATTACTTCATTCTTTTCCAATTACTTATTTCAACGGATTTTAATTTATTGATTAGATTAAAGGGTTGTTTGTTTTCAGGATTTATGAAAATTGTTTTATTGCGTACGTAATATTTCACAATATTCAGTGATCCCTTTAAGATCTTAAAATAACTACGGTCGAATTACACTATTCTTACACAAAAATTACTTGTTTGTATCCAGCTTCTTTTGTGTTTCTCTGCATACCTGTATAATTGTGTCACGACCAAGATCCTTTAGTTTGTCCATAATACTGTTTAAAGCCGATGTGAATAAGTAAAATTAGATATTGAACATCGAAGAAGACCCTGATAATAAAGTGGCTTGAATCGTGATATTTTATGTTTTGTTGTGTTTGTGTGTCGTTATTTTTATCCAAGAGGTTTGGGCCCTCCCTGTTTAATTTCTATACAATATTAAAGGAGTCACATGGCTAATAAAAACAGTAATCGTTAATATTCACCATTGCACCATCACATCGTCATATCTCTTTTTAGGTGCAAAGCCACAGTCAGGCGTGTAAAAGTAATTTTCAATTCCCATGTAAAAAAGGGCGTAAAGACATATAATGTAGGTTTTTTTGTGTCACAATATTGTCGTTGACGCTAAACGTGAAGTTATGAAAATTATATTTGATGTTTGGCGTTATATGGTCGCAACATTTACATCGAAGATCTGGGCATAAAACGCGGTCCTTGTGATAGATGAGATGAATTTTCCTGTGGTTAGAGGGCGTTGCAAATTAGCTTGCTGTCTTTTCGACTTAATGAATTGAACATTGTCAAATTTCGTTTGGAGGTTGTTTTATGTCAGGTTTTACCTGCTCCAATGTATTGTTTTCATAAAGTTGAGATGTGAGGGGGTTATGCGTAGAGACAAAGGTAATGATATTATCCGAACCATATCTTTCACTTTAGTAGTCTTCAATGCATGGATATCAATTGCCAAAGCCTTATTTATCCCAATTTCTATTACCGCGATGGGGTAATGCTATTTCATTAAATTTCGTTGCTCACCTAATCTGAGAATCCGGAGGTCTTCATCTATCACAATGGGGCATATTTTTCTAACTAAAGAAAAGGGTATATTATTTTTGGTATGGCGTGCGCGACATGATTTATAAGATAGATAGTTTTTGGTGTCCGTTATAAGGATTTCTCCCTTTCGTTTGACTAGAACGTCCAAAAATGCGATTTGTAAATTGTTTGTTTCAATTATGCATTTGATACTTAAATCTAAATCATTCATTATTTCTTTCAAATTTGCAATGTCGCCTATGGTTTCATTCCAGGAACCGTTTCGATTGGTTTTCTAAATATAACCTGTAGTTCACGCCATACTTAATTTCTGCAATTGAGTATATTTTTTTTCTCTAGAAATCCCATTGTTAAAATTACTTAACTATGGTGCCGTCTTGCGACCCATCTATCGCTATACCAAGAATATGTTTGTCATTTGTTAGTCAGGATGATTCGTATGGCTTTGAGGATGACGTTTTTTGGGGTTTTTTTTTGTTTTTTACCAATTCTTTCATGACTGTATTTAGGATGTTTATCCAGTCAATATTCTATGGTCTGAAAGCATAGGTCATTGGAAATGTTGTCATACATATAACAAACCTCCATGGCTACAAAAACGTCGCCATCTTTTAGATTTTGGGGCAATCTATTAACAAAATCTATGTCATCCCGAATAACAGATTTTATATTTACAATAAGATTGATAGTCAATTAGTAGGGCAGTATAGATTGTCAATTATTGGTCTAAATGAAAGATTGTCTGGTTTGAGATACCAAATTACCAAACAGGATAATACAGATTCTGCTGATCATCACCGTGAGAACAGATTACACAAACTAAACACATTTCATTGACACGATTTTGTTAAATATTATATATATATATATATATATATATATATATATATATATATATATATATATATATATATAGTTTCAACATATAACCCAACTCAAGAAAAAGCAAGGGATGTAATAAATAAACATACATATTTATTAAGAAATAGTAAAAAAATGTTTGATATATGGGATGCCACAAAGATTATAAATTCTTTTAAACAACCCCCAAATTTACGACGAATACTTACTTCTTCAAAATTTGATTCTGAAGTCACAGAATCAAGTGTCACAAAGTGTGGGGACAATAGATGTAAAACTTGTGACAATATTATTGAAGTGAAAACAGTAAAAATTAATGGAAATGTAAATTTTAAAATAAATCAATCTATGACCTGTAAAAGTAAAAATGTTTTATATTTGATAATATTTCCAGGTTGTAATGAAGAGTATATAGGCAAAACTGAATCACAACTTAACATAAGGATAAACCTACACAGATCCCACATAGCTAATCCCAAAAATAGAATGATTACACTAAGCGAACACTTAGATACATGTGGAAAGGGAAAATTTAGGGTATTCCCCTTATATAAACTCAACTGGTCGGATAATAATTTGCTAGAAAATAAAGAATGGCATTTTATTAACAAGTATCACCCTAAATTAAATGCTGCATAATTTTATATTGTAATTTGGTATTCCAAAATATTTACATTTGATATTATTATTGTCATGTACATAATATATGTATTGTAACGTCATGACGCCATGTAGTTGTTCACTATCTCATTATTAAATGCCTGATGATCCCCGTAGTGGGTGAAAGTGCTAGCTAAGATGAAATTAGTTTTTTCTTTCTAAAAACCTAATATTTCTATATACTTTTACCTGAGAGTAGAATATTTTATTTATTTCATTTTCGGATGGTCAGAGTAATGACTTTATTTAAAATTCAATATAATAATATGTATATTTTAAGTACTAGCCGATTCTGTCAATGAAAACGTGTCTCAATTATATATGACTAGTATATTTAGAAATATAACCAATATATACAAATATATTAATAATCTAAAACAAAATATCTCAAAGTAAATAAGAAATTTTTAATGATTTTAAATCACTAAAAGGCCATAATTCAGTAAAAAAAATAATAATAATACACCGATTCCTACAAAACTCAAACTTGATCTGTAACCCTGCTGTTTAAAGCTTTGTGTACCAACACTCAATCAATCCCCCAAGGCTTAACACACATCATTTGTCGGTACGATTATCCATTTCATGTATAAATCAGTAGCAAATGGGATCCTAATCCAGTAAATATCGCAGGCTAGCGTTGACATCGAGAGTTTATTATGTTCTGGATAAGTTAATTAATGTCTAATAATATAGATAAGAAAGACCTTGCATAATGTTTAAGTCTAAAGTTAATCGAATCTCACGACACGCGAAGTGCATCTGTACAATCAGGTAGTGTATCATATTCCAATCGAATATATCTTTAAAATCTAGGCAAACAGAATTTTCAATCATTTTAAGATGACAGACGGACAGGCGCGCGTCTGTTGGGGATTAATAAGCGTGATCTTATTTACATTTGATACAAAATAAAGAGTTCTTTAGATAATAATGTTTACGATTATAGCATAAATCGTGGTGGGATGCTATTTAATGTTCTTGGACGTGAACAGATTATCGTTCAGGCATTTGTTAGCGATCTTACAAAAAGAAAGATGGCAGCATGAAATCAGTAAAAGGAATAGGGTCTATAGATGACCAGAACTTCTGGTATTGTGTGTGGAAGTCTAAATATGACTTTGTGTCTGGGGTATCGTTCCTTTAATAAAATAAGTTTGCCATTGTGAGCTGACCTGAGTGTCAAGCAAACTTTATACACTCAACTATTCACAGACATTCTTCCAATATCCGATGACTAACTTTTCAAGTGTAGAGACTTTTTTTTAATTTTTATACTTTCGTTCTTGTTATTTTTTAATGCAAATTTAAAAGTAACAAAATGTGATACCTGAATATGCACAATTATTTGTGGTTTTATTTTTTTATTTCAGTTTGGGATGCATATATAAAGTTTCATAGTCAGCCTGGAAATAACAAGTGCGATTTCCATGATACGATACATGTTACTTTACAGACAAATGATTCTGAACATTTTCTTGGTCTAAAACGTAACGATGACATCGACACACAGTTACCTTTGTATTCAATCTCTGCTGATACCGAGGGAAATACGCTCTATAAAAGACATTATGATACTGTCGGAAAAGTAAGTTTTTATGGCAAATGTCGTTTTTGTATTCACGTATTGTCGTAGTTCTAGTCCTTCAGTCTGTTAAGTTCTGTTTTTGCTAAATATTGTTCGGAGATAATGATCATCGGGACAAGGATTATCCCTTCCGTTTTAACATTAACAAGAACAATATAATGTAAACACATAAACATAACTACATGGTTAAACAAGGAGGCCCACTCAAGCAGTCTCACAACCAAACCTCGTCTCTCCGGGGTCTCTCTAACTCAATGCTCATTGATCTTATAGTATTGATATACCAATTGATATATCAAATGCAGATACAAAGGGAATTAGATATCATCCCTATCAGATAATTGAAATGATTTTACATTTACGCTCGTTTTTTGTCAAAAATTTGATGCTAGAAGAGGTGAAGGTGTATGTAATTTTAGCCAGTCTTTATGTCCTATTTAAAGATCAAACCCGTGTTATAACGCTGAAAAGAAAGACACAAAACATACAGTACAGTGTGGATATGCTAGCTGTTGTTGTCGTATGTTACATTGCCTGGCATGTCCACCAGATTCTAACATCGCCCTCTTAGAGTGTCATTCGGGGAATCACTGCCATTTATGTAATTTTGTAAAGTATCCGCCAGTTCTCGAAAATACCAGCGGTGACTTCTCGTATAAAAGAAAGCCCATTTTACATTTTATACAGGGTATTTTGCTACTGGGGATATTCCCTCATGATAGTTCAATACAACCACCCATCAGTATCATACTTTTGAAAGAAACTTGTACAGTTAATCTGCAGTCATAGGCGTAGGAGCCGGGCAATGAAAAATTCGACGACCTTTTTTTTTTATTAACGTTTAGAGAAAAAATATAAATAACTTATTTCTATGAGATCCACACTGCCCGAAAAGTATTTTCTCGTCTTTTTCTTGTCCACTGCATGCCCGAAAATATGCCCGAAGCTCTCTTATGATATGTATGCCCGAATAAACGGTATTGATTTCGGGCAATTTTCTCTTATGCCCCCCTGAATTACTTTGAGCTCCTACGCCTATGTCTGCAGTTGTCTTCATCGATATACTTATTAGCCTGTATTTATATTATTGCTAACAAAATATAAAGAACTGGGATGTATAAGTATAGGTTATTCTATGCTTACGTCATATGGGGAAAACCTACATATATTGCACCGATATCAAATTAGTATTCAGTTAATGTTTAATATTTAATGTCGGTCAATAAGTTATTTACATTCTAGTATCTAATATTAGAATTCCGTCTTTTTTTCTTCAGAAAATAGCTGTTTATCAGGACTTACAAAATGGCGCCTCGCTGTTGATCCAATGTATTAACGAAGTCAGTGAAACAGACGGTCATTTTCTTATGGTAAGTGGCAACGTGTACGACAAAAATCCTTCTTAATAAATATAATTATCTTGGAACATTACGAATAATCGCAAATTAATACTCGTCGCCAGAAATAAACACAGACTCAGATTAACAGCATAAAGCCATCTTACTTCTTTAATGCGCTACTGATGATGAATAATTTGTCAAATAGGCCCTTTGTTTCCTACTTTTGGTGTTCAGCCGCCATTGGTAATTGAAGTAAATCTTAGCATTTCGTGGTTAGTCTAGTTCATATATAATATTATAGGTAGTCACCGTAGAATTAAAGACGAACAATGGAGAAAAAAAAGTCATATTTGAGTCAAAATTCAAATAAATTGTTCTTCCAATTGCAATGACACAGAACTATTCTCAACTAACTCACAACTTTATAATCCAAGATAGCAACGGTTCTTCGCGTAATATTAATATGTAATTTTTTATATTTATGAATTTAATTTTCCCTTGATGGAACTATGTTTTATTTTAGCAACTGACTGCATTAGGATTACCATAAAAAGGGTTATAGAACGCATTCTTATAGCATCATTTCTACCCAACCAGAGTTTCTCCATAATCTGGTCTTACCTTTAACCATAAAGCCAGGTTTACACTTTTTAGGCTACCAGCCGCAGTAAGACACCGGCTGACGCAGCATCGAAGATATTGTCAATTCCGCCGTTTGTGGCGATCAACGGCGTACGTTGGAGGGGGGAGGGAGAAATCTGGTTTAACGTCCACTCAACACAAACTAGATCATTTCAGGACTAACATATGGTTCAATTTTATTTCAATAACTCGCTTGCGCATAGGGGTCTTTAGCGATGGGAGGAAACCGGAGGACCCGGAGAAAACCCACGAGCTTGGACAGGCGACCCAACTCCTTGTCACGTACAACCGGGGAATCGAAACCACGCCAGGCGTACGTTGGCATCAACCAAAACGTATGAACACAAACCAACGCCAGAAGAAATATGGCCCTTTACCTTCTGCAACTTCAGATATTGGTGTCATTTAATGACCAGGGTGAACAGACCAAATCTGCTGCACAATGTTGATCAATTTCTCATCAGTGTCATCCATGATTAAAGGTTTTGAAGTAAAGGCCAGTAATCCGGATTAGTATATTGACTGGCCCTACAACAAGTGTTGTGATTGGCAGGAAATACCTGTGAAAGTCAGGGTCAGCGTCGGCCTTGAAAATTCTACAAATCTGAACTCTACAAATTTTACGGTGTTGAACATTGACGTCGGTTTATTCGTGATGACGTTTTACGTCCATCATAAGTATAAGAATATATAGTTATGCCGCTCAACATCGTTTAACGCCGACTGGAAAGCTACGACGCCGTCCATCGGCGTTTGAAAGCGTGGGAAGTATAGGCCCGGTTTTATGCTGTCCTTAGCAACCTATGGGGAGGCTGTTTCAATGTAATGTTTCGGTATCCCTTTATGATTTACTATTGACCAATGCTGTATCTTCGCAGATATTTTATTAGTGCATTGTTTCAAAAACATTTAAATGATGTTAATCGGCTTATGTTCGTTGTTATTTTTTTTATTCACGGATTAGAAGATTGGGAAGGATCGATATAATATACCCTTAATCTCTGCTTAAAGACGTGTTCCTTCAATAGCCAGTTGGTCATCTAATGACAGTTTTCTAACCACAGAATGAAATCGCCGTAGCTCAGAAAGTAAGGCGCTGGTTCGCTAACCAGGTGGTCTCGGTTTCTGAAGCGATGTTGGCAGAAAGTTCCTCAAGATTTTATTGCGTGCCAGTGTACCCGGGCGCCCGTGTACACGTTTGCGTAATCGTAAATAACCTTGACAATTGGAATTCGAACAAAAATTACCCTCATAGCCCACGGACATGACTTCAGTATCCCAGTATATGCAGAAAAGTGGGATATTACGATCCCGGGCGTGTGCATTAAAAATAAAATTACTATGAATAACATAGTTATATCCTCAAAGAGCATAATAATCTGACAGTAAATTATGTAACGTATTCATTAAAACTGCTGAACTAATTTTCAGCATTTGCTTTCTGGCACTTCAATTACATGGCGACGTTAACATACCCCCATTCATCTCCATACTTGTTTTCCACATAGCGATAGCAGTTTTAAAATTGAAATGTGTACACTTTAAAATGAGATCCAAATGAAGCATTTGATACATTATAATGTTTGTGAAAACAAAATTATATTTCCCTATTGCTTGATTTTTTTTTCCAATCTGTTAGTACATATTTAGGATCTGATGGAAACATATCTTTAAGGATAATTAAGGCGCGTGTTTGATACGAATGTGTTCTGCCTAGACATGTCACAATCACGGCATCAAATGATACGGCGACGGAAAAGCGTGTTGGAAACGCCAGATATCGTGCTGTGGTCTCCATGGTCGGCAATGATCGCCGAGTCACGGCGTTTGTTTTGGGCATGTTCAAAGCAAACGCCAAGGTTCTGCGATCAGGCCTGGGTGGCTATGAGAAAGTGATTTTTTTTATAAAGTTTGTTATTTTTCGGGACATTTTCTCGCGTTGTGTTCACGTTTTCCGGCGACCTTGTGCGGTCGAATCAGCGCAGTAAGGACGCCACTCCGGTCTGACGGGGCGTAAAGCAAGTGGACAAACACCAAACGGTAATCTACTGAGAAAATGGCCAGTATGTTAATAGGTTTTTGTTCCTTGCGAATTCACTTTATATTTTGGGGATTGTTTGTAGCTTTTTATACAAGAATAATATTATTGTTACGTTATTACCATAACGCAGCTAAAAGAAAATAATTCTCAGACATAATTCAATTTCTTATGGCGTACTATGATCTAAAAAATGTCGACCTTACGGTCAATCGTTGGTTTAAACTACATTAACGATACCAATATGGAGACTTATTGATATCAATGTTAGCCGCGAGTCATTACATTTAGACTCTCTCTCCCTCTCATGAATATTCACCAAATCCTAGCAGAAAATATTAATTCCAGCCCTTTTCTTTGATTAAACACCAAAAAATTTACAAAAACAGACATCCTAAAGGTTTGTAATGGGAAATGGGGCGAAACACTATAAATAGATCGAGCTACATTGAGGGGAATATTTGGTGGTCCATATATGAGATTTGCCTAGAAGCAATTCCTCAGTGTGAACACGAGTTGTCCTGAACGTAGATTGATGCTTTGTAATGCCATTTTATTGTAATCATAACGGCGGTTCAAAGCCACCAAACACCTTACTATAAAAATAGTACTACAATATAGCCCTGATTATAGATGGCCAATAAAAACACCATTACAGATATATTCTAGAAGATAAAAATTGTATGTTAGATAAAATTTATCCAAGTGTAAAAAGGTGATAGATATAAATGTGATATACGCCCAGATAATCATACATATAGTCAGTACAATGCGCCATAAATAAATCTTACTGATTGTGGATATTCGGATTCGAACTGATGTCCTCTCACGGTCTCTATTTGCAGCTCCTCGTCTTCAAGGGAATTATAAAGGAGCTGACTGAAGGTTGTGTACTTCATACTACTCTTTACTTAAATAGGTCATCTGGAACACGCGCATAGATCTAATGGGTCAACTACAACATTAATCCTTCTTTAAAATTTAAATGACACTTGTTTAGTCTAGTTTATCACATCAGTGCTCGGGAATAATTTTGTAAAGGCTGTAAATAGGACAGCTTGTAAAAAGCTTAATTTTATTTTGCACTGGAGTTTAAATAGCCCATTAATGAAGCAATGGTTACGAACATTATCATTTCATTATCAATTGCTGAACTAGTTACTAGTATCGACTTAGAAGTAAGCTTAATATGAAAAAAACCTTTTCTAGGAGTCGGTCCAATATTATACCCTAGTGTTACAACATAATACAGTGCTTCGAATTTCTAATTCCACTATTGAAATGAATATATATTCCTAAAGCTTTATCGATGCTCGTGAGATGGATGTGTCACAGTAATTGTTTGGAAACACATTATAGTTGTGTCGACTATTTTGATTACTGCCTGAGCATACCGAGCTGCCAATATTTAATGAGCTGATAATGTGATTAGTAATACTTAGTAATATTAATATGATGCCACCTGGACAACAGTGTTTATATTTTCTTTCATACATATTCGCATAGCTACAGTATCTTGAATTTAATTTAAGGCAGTGAATATAAGACCAGTCTGGTTCAAATGACTGCAGGGGTGAGCCCCTAACCCTCTCATTTTACTAGATTTTAATCTTCAAAATTGATCAGCCATTTGATAAAACGTTAAACTTGGCCGCGCTGATAAAATAACAACACGTAATGACCAGTATCTTAGTTTATGCCTATCCAGTTCAATATTCACTTCCTTATTGTAATCCAAAACGTATTTCGATGATAAAGAGAGACAGGTTTATTTCACAATATCCCCTACATAATAATACATCTTTGGTTTGAGAGATGTAAACGATTCGTGACAAGGCTTTCTTTTTATTCGTTATTGCAAGTTGCGTAACTGTTGAGTGTTTATACTCAAAAGATCAAACTTCACCTTTAAGACACACCACAATGAAGGGAGACAATAAAACTCCTGGGGGTAATCACGATCTTACTCTAATATAATACAAGTCCTTTATATACAACATGGCCATATCCTTTATCAATTAAAGTATATAGTCAGTGTTTGCATAGTGTGTTTTTTACTACTTCAATTGAAAACCAACCCCACCATTCAGCATAAAGTGATTTGAAATAACATTTTTATTTTCGTGCCTTATATAAACTAAACTCAATATCTAGGGCAATGGTTCCCAACTTCAACGTCGCAAATTTTGTTGTGTCCTCCTTTGATATGAAAACAAATTGAGTTTTGTAAGTATAGGATATTAACCTACCCGAGGTTGATATGGTAGAGAACGCGCGGGCGAACCATATCAATCCGAGGGAGAGTAGGTTTATATCCGACATATACAACGCCATTTCACCCTTAAATTTAATGGGCTCTTCCATTAAAAGGCAACAACGATTGGATAATTGCTCGATAGTTTCCGCCAAATAGCGAAAATTACCGAAGTAATCAAATAATTGTCAAAAGAATAAAAATTCATTTCTGTGGGTTTTTTTTTATTATTTCGATCATCTACGTCATCAGCGGTTGATATGAGCCGAATATATTGATCTGAGATGACGTCATTAGCGGTTGATATGAAATATCAACCTGTCATGACGTCATCAGCGGTTGATATGAACGAATATATCAACCTATGATGATGTCATGACAGGTTGTTATGAGATATAACTGCTATGGACAACAAAGTAAAAACTACCGCCAGTTGTATATAAGTATATAATGCAATTAAATCCTTCAAATAAGATATTGATTGCTTCCAATAATATAAAATTATTCAAATAATATAAAAATAATCATAGCCAATTTAGTGAGATCCTTGGTGTTTAATGCAAAGACATTTAATACGTGCCTATAATTTGTTGTAATTCTCATATTATTTCAACAAAATAACCAGAATACAATGCCCCAGGCGAATAAAATTAATGTTAATATACGTACAACTGAAGTTGAATGATGGATCTTAAAAGTCAATGGGTGTCATTTTACAAATTCAAACATAAAGATATTAAAAACATAAATTAACACAGGGTAATCAGAAAATTGAAAACTCTTAGTTAATAGGGCTAAATGCCCCCTTGTGAGGCATGCATGGTGCATTTGGAATCACTGATCTAGGGCATTTATAGCGTGTTTTTATCATGATTTGCGTCAGTACACATTGATGGGCGTGTCACGAACCTTTGACAGAGTGGGTAAAAAGCGGCTATTCATTCGTATGTGAGACAGTTATTCTCAATAGTAATGATGTGAATGACGAATATCTTTCTATTGTATGTTTACAATGTCATTTATCCCACTGTCGTTTTAAATCTAACTTTTCTCAGCTAGAGGGGAGAGAAATACCTAAGCATTGCGAGTGGGTAGCCCCCCCCCCCCACCCTCCCATCTCACAAACATCAGTCTTTGTATTATTGAAATACGAGAATAATAGTTAAATATACAGTTAAAAGTTATATTATATTCAAAGCGATCAATTCTAACTGAAAGTGGTGTGACCATTTACAGTTTCCATTAGTTTCCATTGTTTTCACACCGCCATCGTCATATATCTTATAGTATAATGTAATAATAATTTCATATATTTCGTACGTGACAGTTCGTTCTTCCTGGAGATCTTTTTAATACTTGTAGCCGCTTATCACGTAGCAGTTATATTAAAATAGTGCTTATTTGTGTTTTTTAAGACATAGAAGAATTAACGCGTTTTGTAGTACATTTAAAAAATATAATAATTAAAGTAATTCCAGAGTTATGTCAGGTCCATGTATTATTTCACTTATAAGTAAGTCCTATTTCAGTGGATCAGGGCCCTGTTTCACGAAATTTTAACTTAAGATAAAATCCAAATTTTAGTAGATACTTCAGTTTTGATTGGCTAAGCACTAAAATCAATCTAATATTATCCAATCAAATTACTAAATTTTGGATTTTATCTTAGTTCAAATTTGGTGAAATAGGCCCCTGGTGTTTATGAACACAAATATTTTACAGGAAACGTTCGCATGTAATCTGGGAATTAATTATTGTTTCTCCTTTGTTTTATAGGATGGGCATTTGTATTTGAAGAATAGTCATTATCGAATAGAACCAGTTCTGACGAATGGTCAAGTAGATCGTCATCCCGATAATAAATACAAACATCGTTATAGTCTCTCTGTACAGGAAGATCACCATAGCTGCCACGTAGAAAAACCTTCTGGTAATCATTTATTATACCTTTCTTGTGCGTGCAAAAGAAATATTGGTAGTGCTTGGTAGTTTTAGGAAATTAGGGAATAAATATATTCGTATCCTGCAATTAGGCCTGGCTGTCTAAACATTTTCATATGTTTTTTCTTCATTCAACAGATTTAGTTGGCCGTCACAGAATAATAAAATAGCTTCATATAACAATTCATATAATATACTCTTCAAAAAAAGTAGGCGATATTGAAATGCAAATACTTATGCCGGTTATGATATGATAAATAGTCATGGACACTTGACATGCTTTGAGAGTATGTTCACAGATCAGATGAAGAATTTATCGCCCCAACACAACCACTGAGAGCTGCACATGCGACACACAATAGCGCCACACACGTGGGAGGGGTTCATTGTCAAATTTGACATTTCAAGGAAGGGTTGATGAAAACTGCCGCGTGCTGGTTTATCTATCCATGTTTGCTTTCCTATCGGTTCTTGCATAAGATTTACTGTTTAGCGTATCTTTGCTTTAGTATGTTACGTTTAATTTGATCGGCAGACGTGTTCGTCAACGTCAACGTCAACCGACAACACTGCAAGAATTGGCCGTGGCACTGCAAGAGGAGTGGGTCAGATTGCCCCAAATCGTGATTGAACGGTTGATTAGGAGCATGCCACGACGAATTTCTGAATGTCTGAGGATTGGTGGAGCAATTACTCATTATTAAGACAAAAATCATAAACGTCCATTCATTTTCACTTTTGACGGTGTATCTCTTTGCGAGTGAAATGGGGCCGTCAGATAAGCCGCCCATATGAACTGTTTATATTCATGTGTAGGGAATTGACCTGTTATTAACATACACTGATTACCTCTTATAAAAACAGCAGTGCATTTCCGCAGTTTTGTATTGTTTCTGAATATCCCCTACGTTTTTGAAGAGTATATAAAATCTGCCCTGGTGACTTTACAAACATCCAAATAATTGTATCCCATGATTAAATCTTAACATGTCTAAAATTACACACTGAAATATCCACGTACATGGCCACACCTTCGATAGTCAATGAAAAGGGAAATACTTATTCTAAAGACCAGGATACTCGTTTGTAGATGTTTACTTGTATGTATATTTATAAACCGTATGAAAAGATTTATGAATATTGTTATACAGCCGGGGACAGTGTCCTGTGGGTGAATTGGGATCACCAAATGGGTTAATAGAGACGAGCATACATGTACGTCATTCACTGTCCTACACATATTTCGATCTTTAATGCCATTTTGGTTTGGGTCCCATCCGAACGACTAGACACTTTCCATGCCAGGCTTCCCGAACTGCATGACGAGTGATGCCAAGTGATTTGTATGTGACGTATTTACGCTTGTATCACGCCTTTGAAATTCCACATTATGACGTAATCTTAAAGATGCATTATGTAAGAGCCAAATCTGCATATTGCAGAACTTTCTTTTGGCCGCAAATGTTATATAAATTATTAATTAGATATTCGTTCACATGACAAACACATAATCAACCTACTTGACCATCAAATGTTTATGATTTTGAACAGATTGAAACACAACCAAATTAAGACTTTGTTACTATTGTAACAACGGTAGCAATGAAAATTAAGACTACGCTATTCTTCAAACAATAATAGTCCATGGGCTGGAGGGGCTCACCTTGCAACCCCCCTTAGAATCTACAAAGTGATGTTTTTCTGGAAGGTTATTATGTTTATTTAAATATTCTATATGTTACCACGCGAAAAATTGGGTCTCACTAACTTTTCTAGGTAGTTTATGTAACTGTCACCACAAAGCGTGCGAAAAAAAAAATTGGGGTAGGGGAAATTAAAATGACCATGAAATTCGGTTAGAGTCATTCCATGCTTGACATAATCACCATCACGCTATAAACACTAGTACACATAGAATATTAGTTTAAAGATACACAATGTAAGATTTAGTTAAAGGGCTGACAGTTCTCACTATAATAGTTTAAATATAAATAATGAAAAATTACTTCAACCTGGGCCAAGTTATTATAGTCCATGGGCTGGAGGGGCTCACCTTGCACCCCCCCCCCCCTTAGAATCTACAAAGTGATGTTTTTCTGGAAGGTTATTATGTATATTTAAATATTCTATATGTTACCACGCGAAAAATTGGGTCTCACTAACTTTTCTAGGTAGTTTATATGTAATTGTCACCACAAAGCGTGCGAAAAAAAAAATTGGGGTAGGGGAAATTAAAATGACCATAGCTCCAAGTAGAATAGGTGTATAATAATGGTTGACCCCTCAAAATGTGTCTGTGGGTTCCCTCTACACTTTGCACTTGGTTTTATGCAAATGAGTTTACTTAGTAGGTTAACAGAGGTCAAAAGGTCACCGATTTCGGAGGTTGCTTGAAATTGGGCACTACTTTGTGAATCCCACTAAAAACAGATGATAACATGCAATTTTCTCATTATAATACTTTGAATTCTCTATTATAGATAGGATTGACAATTACAAATCACCCATGTTTAATTATTTTAGTACAAAATCATTTTGAGACAAAGAGAAAAAGGGCTTATTTACGAAGTCACCAAAACGACTGCTGATCAGTACAATATTCTCTAAAACTGCCCCAACAAAGTTTTTGTTCACCGATTCTGAAGTTTTGTACTCATGCCGCTAAATAGGTCAATAAAGGGCAAATATCTTTCAGACTTAGTAATATACCCGATGATACAAATGTGATCTACATGACAACACCAAATCAAAATTGCGTTTATCAAAAAGAAGTTATCGCCATATGTGAAGAAAAAGCCTATATTTTAACACCAGATGGTAAAACAGTTGAAAAGTCTGAGATTCTATCTCTTGAATCTGACCAGGAGGAGACAGATACCCGGGTGGTGCTCTATTGCTCATTTGCTGAACAGGAAAAAAAAACAGTTTGTACGAGTCAGGAGTCCCGACAGCGACATATTTTTCATCGTGCTCTATTATGCACCCAACTTCAACATCCGTATTCTGTTTGACACGGGCTCTGGTAATCACAGAAGACTGCTAGATGTGACAGACATGTCAAAGGATTTTTCTCCAATGTATTGTGCAGCATTGTTGGGTCTTCACGCCTTCACAAGATGTGATATAACCAGCGCGTTCAAGGGCATCGGAAAAGTCAAGCCAATAAAACTGCTGCAGCTTAAACCACGCTATCAGGAGGTTTTTCAAAACCTAGGCACAACTTGGAGAATCCCCGATGAAGTATACCAAGGCCTTGAAGAGTTCACATGCAAGATGTACAATAAAACGACTAAAGCATCAGCAGTGAACGAGGTCCGATATGAAATGCTTGCTTCGAAGTGCGGGGGACAAACAGGAGTGGAAATAAAGCTTGAAAGAAAAGTAGACCTGTCATCTCTTCCACCCCCAACGAACACATCAGAAGAGTGAACTACCCGGTCGGCATTTGGAAGAGAGCACACATCCCGAAGCCAATAATTCCCGAGGCAACGGATGATCATGGGTGGGTGAAGCGTAATGGCCAAATCGAACCGAAATGGAGCGCCGGGGATGTAATCCCACCCAAATTGGCAGATGTACTTGAGAAAATGGAATGCGATGATGATGATGAAGGTCAGGATGATAGCGAGACTGACTCAGATGATAGTGAAAACGAAGAAGAGATTTCAAGTAGTGACAGTGATGATGACTAAGATACACAAAGATATCATGGGTCTTTTCTATGTATACTCCGTCAAATCATGGTTAATTCAGTTGTAAATATTGATAAACGCAATTTTGATTTGGTGTTGTCATGTAGATCACATTTGTATCATCGGGTATATTACTAAGTCTGAAAGATATTTGCCCTTTATTGACCTATTTAGCGGCATGAGTACAAAACTTCAGAATCGGTGAACAAAAACTTTGTTGGGGCAGTTTTAGAGAATATTGTACTGATAAGCAGTCGTTTTGGTGACTTCGTAAATAAGCCATTTTTCTCTTTGTCTCAAAATGATTTTGTACTAAAATAATTAAACATGGGTGATTTGTAATTGTCAATCCTATCTATAATAAAGAATTCCAAGTATTATAATGAGAAAATTGCATGTTATCATCTGTTTTTGGTGGGATTCACAAAGTAGTGCCCAATTTCAAGCAACCTCCGAAATCGGTGACCTTTTGAGGGGTCAACCATTATTATACACCTATTCTACTTGAAGCTATGGTCATTTTAATTTCCCCTACCCCAATTTTTTTTTCGCACGCTTTGTGGTGACAATTACATATAAACTACCTAGTCAAGTTAGTGAGACCCAATTTTTCGCGTGGTAACATATAGAATATTTAAATATACATAATAACCTTCCAGAAAAACATCACTTTGTAGATTCTAAGGGGGGGGGGTGCAAGGTGAGCCCCTCCAGCCCATGGACTATAATAACTTGGCCCAGGTTGAAGTAATTTTTCATTATTTATATTTAAACTATTATAGTGAGAACTGTCAGCCCTTTAACTAAATCTTACATTATGTATCTTTAAACTAATATTCTATGTGTACTAGTGTTTATAGCGTGATGGTGATTATGTCAAGCATGGAATGACTCTAACCGAATTTCATGGAATTTGGTCGACACACTTCACGCTTTGCACCACATACCCACAGAATCTCAGCCTGTTAGAAATCGAGAAGTCGGCAAATCGTCTCTTTACGTGTTTTTATAAATTCTTTCATTTTTTAAATGAAAATCCATCATGTAATTTGCATAACAAATATATCATTGTAGACAATTTAAATTCACCAATATCTTCTAGGTTAAACTTTTGTTATCTCCTAAAGAAATTATTCAGTAAACATTTCTTTACAAAATTGAATATGTCAATCAAGTTGCAGGTTAGTAACTTAAAAAAAAAAATCTATCATTGCATAGAAATTTTATATTAATTTCACTAGATTTGCACCTTGGTGACCTTTCAAAATTTTAATAGGCAAACAAAAACTGTTGTGTTATCTAATATTGACTATTCAGTGCTCTAGCAGAGCTTTATATTGAGTTTTCCATTAAATTTAAATCTAATTGAAATCGTGCATCATGTTTTATAAAAGGTCTTTTGTATATTTGGGCTAACATCCCTTTCTTGTCTGTCTGTAAAAGGGGCCAAATGAATAATTGCTGATTGCAAAATGAAATAGGGTTTAATATCATGCAGTATGCTATGAGGGCGTGCCCATAATCGTATTACAATTATCAAAGGCTCTTTCAAGCCCACGCCAACGGGTACACGGGTGAACCTCGTTTTTGGTCCCACTGAAGAACTGCTGATATCTACACCTACAATAAAATATTAATTCTTATAACAGGTGGCCTCGTGAGTTTTCTCCGTACGTTCTCATCCCACTCCCTTAAGACTCTTGTGCTTAATAACCTAATTGTTCAAATGCGGATGAACCATGATTATGTTAGTCCCGAAATACGAAATAACCCAGTTTTTGTAGTTGAACCTCATTCAGAATATGATATAGTTTTCACAAGTACGATAGCTAGAACGTTCTGAGTCTGAGAAGGATAGATCAGTTGGGTTAAAACAAACTGTTGTGACTAACAAGTACAGTCATTGAATGAATCATAGACATAAGAACTGCAACTGTAGTGTTATTATTGTCTTCGTATCAGACCATCTTGTGAACCTACCCATTGAAATCACCAGAAATTGGCAAAACTGACTACAAGACAGTTATCAAGTACCTGCAACTGAAAGGACTAATCCCTACACAGATATATGTCAACATGGTCTCCACTTTAGGGCATGGTGCATCTTCCTTTTCACAGTAAAGAAGTGGGCTGAGAAATTTAAGCGTGGCAGGGAGAGCATTCACGATGACCCGCGTTCTGGAAGGTCTTCAACAGCAACCATTCAATAAAACATGATCCGGGTGCATGACATGGTGATGGTTGATCGACCGCTCGACATTGGAAGTGTTGTTGGCATCTCTCATGAGAGGGTTGGAAAGATTATCGCCAAAGATTTAGGAATTATAAAAGTTTCTGCACGATGGGTGGCAAAGGTCTTGACGTGACAGTTTCCTGACGTCCTGTGACAATCTGCACCGTTTTGAAGCAGATCCTGATAACCTTTTGGCCACATTTGTAACCATGGATAAGACCAGATTCTAATTTTGAGTCATTTTCCTAGTAATGATGACGTCATGTCAGCTGTAAACGACTTAGAAAAATATATAGAAACCATTGACTTTGTACAGCTCTTTCACAGATAGGCTTAGACCTTCTCAACCAGCCCTCGTAATTGCCGAAGCTAACTTATTTTACTTTAACATCATGTCGAGTGGATAGTCATCCAGTGAACGCTGGCAATCCCATTTAAAAATATAATAATGATTCAAGTATTGTGTTGTGAAGCGACTATTGAACACTCACCCGGCATTTACAACTTGACAATTGAATCAGTGCTGTTGGACAAATACAGGCAGTCTTAATAGACCCCACCCTCTCTCACGCTACTCTTAGTTCCGTGTTATTTTAAAGGGGTTGGGCATGGTAACTCATTAACTAGAAGGTCAAGGGTTTGTTCCCGTTTTTAGCCGAGAAAGTTAATCGGGATTTTCCATTTTGTGTTCCCGTTGTTAATTGTGTAGCAAGGAAGGTCTAGTAAAGAAAAGCGTCTAGCTGTTAGGTGGGATAAAAATCTGACATCCATCCGTGTACTCGTAGGTGTGCAGGTAAAACATGCCTTGACATCTGCAATTCGAATTAGGGTGTGCGGAAACGTCAGTCAGGATGAAATTTCCTTGGAAGGACACTGCATGTGCCCGTCTTCATTATCCCTGTTGGTGCAAAAAAAAGACGCTACCCCCCCCCCCCCACACACACACACACACATATATTTTAGTTCTTAAAGGATCATTCATATTCCATTCAAATACTTCATGGCAGAAATATCATTGATTGCTGAAGAATAAAAACAATATCTAGAAAATGTCACAAATTATCATCGAGTACTATGTTTTCATCTGTTGAAAAAATAGGATTATGATTAGGTTTGACCTTTTGTAAGATGAACTAATTGGGTTAATTGGGTTAAGGAGACGAAACCTAATCTTCCTACGACACCAAACTAAAATCTAAAAAAAAACACAACAGAACAGAGCCAGACCAACAATTTTAATTCATAATTAAAAATAATTTGAGGCGTTTTGAAGTTGTGTCAAGCTCTTCGGCATGATACCTACTGTCACAAATCGGATGCTATAAGGCTTAAATCGCACGATGCGAGATCCTTTCTAGTGGACTCGTCGTTTTAAGAAGACAGGAGACCGAAATCCATCGAAAGACGATTTGCTTCGATACAACCTATCTATGATTCGAACGATTAAAACTTGTTGGTCCAGTCAGTTTCGCTGGATTTACAATTTCGTTGGGATGATGCCAGTGGGGATCGGGCTTAAACCAACATATTTGTTGATGTGGGCATTTAAATTTATATGTTATGATTAAATGGAAGAGAAGGTCTGATTGCAGGTTACATTTATGAAAATATAATTACAAATATAAGTAAGATTTGTCAATGGCAAGATTTCTTAAGAATACAGATTTCAACAAGATGCCATTTTTGTTTTACTCTTTGCTCAGAAATAATCAATGAAACGAGATTTGAAATAAAAGATTATCTATACACAGGAATATTTATTTTTTGGTTGTTTTAAACATAAATGATGGATGCGTTATTTCAACCAGCAAATGAACATTAACTACAATGCTCTATTGCGGTATTTTTATGTCATAAGCCGGGTTTTTAGTGATGTATTCATAGTGTAGTATCATCGATCCAATAAAAAATGATTCATATCTTAAAACTGGTACTAAGGCTGGCTGAATAGTTCTAAGCCTAAAAAGGATAGATCAATTGGGTTGAAACAAACTTTTGCCACCAACAAGTGCAATCATTGAATGAATCATAGACCTTAGAACTGCATCTGTAGTGTTATTATTGTCTTCATACTAGACCATCTTATGAACCTACCCATTGAAATCCCACAAATGGACAAAACCGGCAATAGGACAGCCATCAAGTACCTGCAACTGAAAGGACTCGCCCCAACACAGATACATGACGACATGTGGGCTGCAGAAGTTACGCAGGGAGAGCCTTGGCGATGACTCGCGTCCTAGAAGGCCATCAACATCAACCATTTAAGTAAACATTATACGGGTGCATGACATGGTGATGGCTGATCGACGATTGATGCCAGTGTTGTGGGTATCTCTCATGAGAGTGGTTACGCACATTATTGCCAACGAGTTAGGAATGTTAAATGTTTCTGCAAGATGGGTGCAAAAGCTCTTGACTGCGGATCAGAAATATGTCCGATTCCTGACGTCCCGTGACAATCTCCGCCGTTTTGAAGCAGATCCTGACGTTATGTCCGCTGTGAACGACTTTTTTTAGAGTGGCTGAAAAAAAATCTTCCTGACCGGCATCCAGGCCTTGCAACATCGTTGGCAAAAGTGTGCACATCTCGAAGGGGAGTGTGTAGAAAAAGAAATGGAAACCATCGACTTTGTACAGGTCTTTTACAGATATTCTTAGAACTTTTCAGCCAGCCCTCGTATTGTAATCTGATATTAACACCTTTTTTAATACATATCCTTTCAGGATTTATATTTAGAGGTACAAAACGTTTGGTTATTTAAGAATAAAACAAGCATTATAAGTTTCAGAGAGATTTTAAAGATTTGCTGCATTTCTCAGCGATATCATTTATCTGGACGCAGAAGTTAAATAAACACACTTTACACAACACTTTTCACATTGTCTTTTGTGGATTTATTTTCTGTTTTGTACGGTTTCTTGTAAGCTTGTATTATGGTGATGTAAGGTATATCTACGTTCCTCTGGTAATCGTTACAGCGATGAAGAAACCCAGTTAATTGTCCACTCTGTTTAGGCCTATGATGGTTTGTGTCCGGACGTTCAAATCTGTGCCTGAAAATATAAAAAATAATAGATATGGAAATATAAAAATAATCGACATTGAATGAAAGAAATAGATAAATAATCGATATGGAATGAAAGAAATTCACATAGCTGTCTGTCAAATTTATGTTGTAGTTCTGAATATGAAGTCTTTAAGTTACGTATCTCGCCTAGAAACAAAAATTAAATGTGTGATAATTCAAAATCCACGCTAATATGTAACTCAGATTGATTAATTAACATTTGATTACGAAACTAAAATCAAAATACCAACGATAGATAAAGTCCTGGCTTTGATTCAATCGGATTTTTTTTTTAAAAAATTAATTTTTCGCGAACAACAAAATAGCGACTGATTTATTGCATAGCGAGCAGCATGGAACAATGAAATTTCAATTCTACATATTATATCTTTGTAAATACTGAACAGTTTTTGGACCGACATTCATCTTTCACAATAAACAAAATTAGAAGTGATTCTATAGCGCTAAAATGACGAATCTGGATTTAAAGTGTTGAATGGACATCACTCTCTCTCTCTCTCTCTCTCTCTATCGATCTCGATGTTATTATGTGTTTGATTTGGGGGTTTTTACGACAGAGGCTATATTTATTTTTCAGACGATAACTTCAATGCACCTTCTTCCAAACAAAAGAGAATTAAAAGAGAAACTGCAACATTACCACCAATCGTTATTGATATATCGGTACATGTAGACAAAGAAGGGTTTAAAGCGTACGGTTATTTTATGTATTTTAATTTTATATAAATAATGAACATCATATACTGTATGTTTTAAAATGGAATGAAATAGGGTTAACGTCAAACTTTTCTGCATCAATCGGTCTAACGATGACGGACACACTCTACGCAGTGCGCTAAGAGGGAAACTTGCGTTTCGGCTTATTTTTCATCTTTTACGTGCATGCTAATGACTACACGGAGTAAATATTTAATTCAAAACATTGCACAACCCATGTGGTCATATCAGCTAAATAAAAAAGCTGTTATTGGAGTAACATTAGAGGCGCAAGAAAATGAAACCCACATATCTAACACATTGTTTAATCTCTAATCACACTGTAACGTTACTGTTGTTGTTACATCCCTAATCCTACAGTTAGACCCGTGACCTCATTGTTAGATCTCTAATGACACTCTAAAGTCCGGCCCACACCGCCACGACTTGCCCAGACTCTACTCAACGAAACGTCTTGTCTCAGATAATCAGTGCAGTGTGGACAGCCCCACGACCACGATTCAATCGATTTTCATCGCGTCGTGGCCCGTCGGCCCGACTGAGCATGTCTGCAGTTGCAGAGTAGCATTTAGTCATGTGACTGTGCAGTTCATGTGCTCCTTGTTTTCCCGCGAAAATTCAGGATGACAGATTTTTCGAGGAGTCAACTTCAGCGGCATCTTGGCAAAATATAATGTCACTTTTATGCTTCCGGTTTACTTTTGGAATCACTCGCTAGAGGGAAGTGGCGTAACTCACGACGCATAATCTGTGAGAGTCGGGCCTGTGTGGACTGGTACCGTCGTAGGCAAGTGAAGTAAAGACGCGACCCGATTTTTTTTACACCTATCTAAGACGCTGAGTCCTGTCGGGTTGTGTGTAGTCGTAGCGGTATGGGCTGGGCTTTAGACCTGTGACCAAAGTATTTTATTGTCGACTCTTAGTTTTAGAATCTTTGTTTCTTTGTGTCACTGTAGTAAAAGTAGAGTAGTTCAAGTAAAGCCCGGTCCATACCGCTACGACTACACACAACACGACGAGACTCGGCGTCTTGGGTAGTTGTAAAAAAAAATCGGGTCGCGTCTTAACTTCACTTACCTACGACGGTACCAGTCCACACAGGCCCGACTCTCACAGATTATGCGTCGTGAGTTACGCCACTTCCCTCTCTTCCGTCCAAAAATCTGCCATCTTGAATTTTCCCGGGAAAACAAGGAGCACATGACCTGCACAGTCACATGACTAAATACTACTCTCTGATTGGCTAAACAACAGTAAGACAATTGATCGTGTCGTGTGAGTGTCCACACAAACAAAATGGGTTACGACTGCAACCAACTGCATCCGACTACGACTGAACATGCTCAGTCGGGCCACGACGCGACGAAATCGATTGAATCGTGGTCGTGGGACTGTCCACACTGCACTGATTATCTGAGACAAGACGTTGCGTCGGGTAGAGTCTGGGCAAGTCGTGGCGGTGTGGGCCGGACTTAAATTTAATGTAGGACAAACTCCTGCTGTAGCATGCAATGCGAATATCTTCTAAGGATTATAAAACAAACATCGTAGTACGTTTTACGTCCTAATAGTGGGGTAATGTCAACGAGCTAGCCAGGGGTAAGATGTTAAAAGTATATTGCGTATATATCACAATATTGAAATGAATATAATCACCTGGTACATTCTTTTAATTATTATAAGTGATGAAAGCGCATGTGTTTGTTGTGGCGGGGGGGGGGGGTGTCATTGGTTGATCAAACTCATCATAATTTGATTATCTTATAAATAAAATTTGTAGTGATATCATATCATTAGCAAGGCAATGATGAGCAATACATAATCACATTTAAATAAATCCATTACAGAGACTTTCATATAAAGTTTCTATGTGAGAAAGATTTAATCGAGGGTCTTCCTTAATACCGTCTAGAATAAAGACTGTTTGAAATAGCCTATAAGGCTTCTAGCCACACTTTAGACATCTGTCAACACTTGACGCTAGACTCTTCTAATATTTATAACAGCTTAATTTTAATGATTCACTTGTTAGGTATCAGTGTTGAATGAGGCTAAGTGACAACCCTTTTATTTGAGTAATTGTGCAATCTCATCGTAAACGAAGTCTTACAATACTGAAGATGAGGCCGAGTCGTTTCATGAGCGTGGTGTCTTTTTGTGGTGATCATCCAAATAAATCACAACGAGGGATAAGACATTAATTTTAGGAACTCTTTAATAGAAATGCACTTGTTGTTAATAATAGCTTCATTCAAGCTAACATTTTAAAATCATGGCCGGTAATAAAAGATTAAGATGATATTGCGTACATATGGATTTGTGCTTTAGATGATCCTGATAAATAGGAAAGTCTATGATAAAGCCCTCATTTAATACATTTTAGAGAAATAATAGCATCAGTCTATAGTTTCTTAGAATAATTTCAGGCAGTTGTATAAAAAAAAATTCCTTTTTAAAGAAACGATAAAAGGTTGCCTTCAAAAAAAAAGTTTTTCTTTTTAAAATTTGGATTGGTTTCAATTTTTGGTTTAAGTTATGCTTTTTCGGTTGCGAAAAAGATGAACCAATATATAACTGCATTTTCTTTCTAGGTGGCAAGACAGATCGAAAAATGATGAAGAAGCAAGAGCCGTCGTAAAGAAATATTTTACGCACGTCATCAGTGGGGTAAGAATAGTCTATTATATGTTGCTAAACTGTAATGTACATTTTGACTATTTAGGTGACAAGGAATATAAAGTAGCATGTATGTCTATAATTTTGTTCTTGCAGATAAATTTGAGATACCAATCTATGAAACCAGATTTAAACGTGGTTGTTAGACCGATATCTATAACCATTCATGAGGTCGGTATATAATTATATTGTAAATATTCATCATATACTTATGTACTTTACAAACACTTATCAACCTTCAGAAAAGTATAATTCTTCTTACTATCTGAAATGTGACTATCTCTTTCTCCAAGACTGTAACCATTTCTGTTTCATATCAAAATTAATATAACTTTAGACTCACCTAAGTGTGTATTAAAGGTCGAAGCTATGGACTACTTAGAGTAGTATACAGTATTACTGTCTATTTATTTGCAGATTGAACGTCCATTTACAGATGGCATAAAGGAGATAAGAAATGGCGTAGAAACTGTAAATGCTGAACATGTTTTAACTAATTTAACTAGTTGGATTCAATCTAATACAAATACTGTTGGCAATTATGATCATGTCATGCTATTTACCGGGTAAGTGATAGATATGAACAGTGCATAACATTTTTATATCAAGTGGAAAAGAGAGAGAGAGAAATGGGGTTTAACGTCCACTCGACACAAACTAGGTCATTTCGGGACTAAAATATGGTTTAATTTTATTTCAATAATTCGCTTGCGCATAGGGGTCTTTAGCAGTGGGAGGAAGCCGGAGTACCCGGAGAAAACCCACGAGGTTGGACAGGCGACTCCACTCCTTGTCACGTTCAACCGGGGATTCGAAACCACGCCAGTCGACTCAATGACAGACTTTATGATACAGCGCGCGCACGCTAACCATTCAGCCATCCAACCCCCCTCACGTGGAAAAGAAGGAGAGTCAAGTTGCTTAGTTTTGCAAGTAAAATAGTAAACCTATATAATATACATTAAAATCAATAAGGGAAAGAAAAGATCAAATTATTGGTCTATAAACAGAATAATAATAATAACTAGACCTGAAAGCAGCACTGAACCGGCTTTCAGGAATCAGACAGGAAGTGTCATACAAAAGCCCATTCATCGAGCTACCAACCGATACTTTAGTTGTTTTGATTCAGTGACACCCGACGGAGAAATCACGATTTTCGCAAGAGTATCTATTTTTTTACCGTTTTTTGGGGTGTTTTTTTTTTTTTAAATATCGGATATTTTTTCGACTACATCCGGTTTACAGATCATTGTTGGGATAGATTTAACAAGTGGTATTGGAACTTAACTTCCTGTACCAGAAGTTTCAGAAACATCCATTGAACAATTTTTAAAACAAAAGAAAACTAGAAGAGCATTTTCAGATAAAAAAAAAATAATAGAGGGTCTATCGATAGAGAAAGTTTAAGAAAATCGCTGACCAGTTTTCGAGATATAGGCGTGCCATGGTTCGGTTCCTGATCACGATATCTGTATGAATGGGGTATATAATACGATAGACCATTCATCGGGGGCCACGTAACGATACCTTAATTCGTTTAATCCGTTGATATCGGATGGAGAAATCGCGTTTCTCCCAAAAGCATCCATTTTTGCGGGGTTTTTTTTCAAAATAACGGACATTATTTCGACTACTTCCGGTTTAGGGATCATTGTTGGAATTGCTTTATCCAACGGTCCGACCATATGGCTTTATGTTCCAGGATTAACATCGATTAACCCTTTTAAAAAAATAAAAGGGTTTTGAAATGGGCAGAAAATTCGAAAAATAAAGGGCGATAACTCTGAATGAAACTTATATTACTGGAATCGGACCACGTAATGATACCTTAATTCGTTTAATTGTCCATCTTCTTTCAATTTACCAAAATTGCAACTTGAGAACTGTATTAGTGAAATTAGAAAATGGATGTCAAAGAACTTTCTAAAATTGAATGATGATAAAACCGAATATTTGTTATTAGGCTCAAGGCATCAATTAAGTAAATCTGCACAAGATAACCCCCCTGTTGTAATTGGTAATTGTGATATATTTTCATCTTATTCTGCTCGTAATATTGGCGCTATCTTTGATAGTTTTATGCTTATGGGAGCTCAAGTAAATAATATTTGTAAATTGTGCTATTTTAATATTAGAAATATAGGTAAAATACGTAAATGTGTAACTGTAGAGGCCACTAAGTCACTTGTTAATTCTCTGGTCACTTCTCGATTAGATAACTTTAATTCACTTTTAGTTGGTTTACCTTTAAAGCTTATAGATAAATTACAAAAAGTACAGAATACTGCGGCTAGACTTGTTACTTTAACTAAGAAATGTGACCACATAACTCCTGTTTTATATAATTTACACTGGTTACCTGTTAAATATCGAATTGATTTTAAGATTTTATTACTTACTTTTAAATGTTTAAATAATTTAGCTCCTGTTTACCTCTCAGATCTTTTAGAACTTTATACACCTGGCCGAACATTACGTACATCAGATAAACTACTTTTAAAGCCCAAAACTGTTCAACTAGTCTCCTATGGTCAGCGCTCTTTTAGTTATCAAGCACCTGTTTTATGGAATAATCTACCATTTAGTTTAAGATGTTGTACATCTCTGTATTCTTTTAAAAAACAACTTAAAACACATTTATTTAATCAGGCTTTTAACTGACTCTGTATACAATCGTTAACATGCCCATAATCTTGTTGTTTATGTGTGATTTACATTGTCACTTTGTAAAGTGCCCCTGAACATGTTATATGAAAGGGTGCACTATAAATATGCTGTAACAATAATAATAATATCGGACGGAGAAATCGCGTTTTTCCCAAAAGCATCCATTTTTTGCGGGTTTTTTTTCAAAATATCGGACATTATTTCGACTACCGGTACTTCCGGTTTACGGATCGTTGTTGGAATTGCTTTATCTGATCACATGGCTTTATGTTTCAGGAGTTTCAAAAAACATCGATTAATCCCTTTTAAAAAAATATAAGGGTTATAAAATGGGCAGAAGATTCGAAAAAATTCGAAAAATAAAGGGCAATAACTCTAAATGAAACTTATATTATTGGAATTGGGTGGACTTCAGGTATCCAAAAATGTAGGTCAAATTTAAAAATTTTGAAAAATATCAAAAATTGTCTCGTAAACAACGTGTTTTCAAATTTCGAACGATAAAAGCCATAGGTGAATGTTTAAAATTGAAAAATGTGAGATAGCCATTGTCTCGGAAAAGATTCAGGGTTTACAAAAATGTCATTTGTTCGAAAATAGGTAAAGAATTGACGAAACCACGGCCAATTTTTAATTTCTGGCCACAGTTCAAAATTCGGCCACTTTTGGTCTGCCCAGAAGTTTCAAATATAGTTTATCAAGTCACCACTACATGATTTCCCGATAGAAATTTGGTACCAGATCGATATATGCTTCCGATCATGGAGAAATAGGCAACGCGGTTGTAAAAACAATAGTCTTTCATCCAAAAGTCTGAAAGCCTAATAATAAAAAGTTAGGTAGGATGTTTGAAAACCATCACAGAGAATTAACAAAACTAGTAATGAAATGAAACAGAAAACAAATAGGTAAATCAATTCTCGGATTTAATAAAAAAAAAAAAGATGGATAAAATACAACAAGAAGAAATATGGCAACACCCGAATGTTTATGTGCTCAAGAATTTTTTTTTTACGTAAATAAGTATGTGCGAAAGTGAAATGAAACTTTTACCGCATTCTGTCATCCATAATATATGCCAGAAAAGGTGCCAGTGTAGCATGTAACAGACCTACAGCGCAAGTTTTAAATCGTGGTAACTGTATGTATTTTAACAATGGCACCTCAAAAACTCACTACAGCAAAATGATGGAAAGTTACTGGCTAGTCAGGGCACAACTCCCTGATCCGTAATCATTTCTCGGGGAACAAGGTTTGGTGATTGTTTCTAATAGAAGGGACCCCAGTGAAGATATTTGTAGTTTGATATTCCATACAAACAACAGCAATTGGAACACTGCATTGAGAGCACTGCAAACTTTCTTAAACTGAATTCTGACAAAACAGAGTACATGACCATTGGCTCAAAATCATGTGTTTAATCATTAGATAGGCACCCCATTCGTGTTGGAAGTGATCACATTAGCCCCGTTCAATCTGCTAGAAATTGGGTGTTATGGTTAACACTACCATGGATATGTCCAAACAGGTTGCAGCGGTATCGAAGGCATATAACTTTCAGCTGTTCAACATTGGCCGTGTACGGAAATACTTAAATACAGATTCAACTAAATTTTTGGTGAACTCTTTAATCACATCTAGATTGGACTATTGCAATTCCAGCTTCTTCTCTTCGCTCATTACAAAAGATACAAAACACTGCTGCACGTGTAATCACCAGATCAAAACCCCACGACCATATTACACCTGTGCTCAAATCCCTTCACTGGCTGCCCATAAACAGGCGTATTCAATTGTAAATAATCCTACTCACTTACAAGTGCATCATCCATGGTTTAGTTCCTGACTATCTGAGCGATGTTCTACAAATCAAAAGCGGAGAAAGAACAACTCGATCAACATCAAAACACAAACTTTGAAAGTGTCCTGTGGTGATAGGGCTTTTTCAGTGGCAGCACCCATCTAATGGAATAAACTCCTAGCAATATTAAAGGAAGCCAGAAAATTAGAGTCCTTTAAATCATTCTTGAAGACTCACTTATTTAATTGTGAATACCAATATGTCGGCAGCAATTGGCGTGAAATATATTCTTTCAATACCAATAACAATATACACAGATGATATGTAGTTTAGGGAGTTTTGGAAGACACGAGAAACGAATATTCCATTTCCAACCTTATGGGAATAATGGGAATAGAAATAACATACAAAAATTGAGCATTTTCCCGATACAGGTATACACATGTAATAATAACAACCATAAATTGTTTCAGTCATCCATGAATCTTACCCTTCATTTACAGCTATCATAATACAGTATAATGCAGTAGATGATAATGTATTTTATCGTATGAGATGTGTCAAAAGTCTCAGTATTTTGAATCATCTAGTGGTATACGCGTGATACACGCTGCAAATTGTATGTTTACAAGTCACTTAATAGTTTTCTAATCTTAGCGACCGCTTTGGAATTGGGGAATTTATAGTATTTTAAAAGGGTATAGGCACTAAACTCCCAACACATTTAAGGGTCAAATCGTACAAAATTTTCATAATGGCCGAATAGATATCTCTGAAATGTGATAAGGATCACCCTAAGATGATAAATATTGGTATGAATGTTACTTTGTTTGCGGTTGTTTAGATTTATTCGAATGAAATTGCTTGATCCGATAGTTTTTGGTACAAAGGCGCCTTGATAGGGCAAAGTTTGGATTCTCCGTGAACCATATAAAGGGGTTCAACAAAATTTGGTAGGTATGTTGATTGAGTGGTACTTTTCAATAATGCGTTCACAAGAAAAGGGTGGGACATTATCCAGAGGCGTGCATGGAGAAGGATGGGAGGGGGCAATTATCCGTTTCATGGTGAATCCAAACCCGGAGGGGAATCAAAATAAAATTTGTTGAAATTTGAAATTATCTTTGTTATAATATTTGTTATAAAAGGTTTATTTCGTCTGATTTTACATATATATTTAAAATGTTTCTTTTGTCGCATGTCTCAAAAGCAGGTCCTACACCTGAATATTGGATTGGCAGTGAAAGCATATAACGGCCCAGGCATGATCAAACGTCTTTACGTCGCCAACATTGACACCATGAAGGGACATATTTAGACATTGTGGACTTCTTGATTCTCTTATAACTCACGATGGATTGCAGCTAATTTCAGAACCATATTGTAGATTCATGGATGCCTGGAACAATTTATGGTTGTTATTATTACATGGGTCTGTAGTCGCAAAAATGCTTAATTTTTGTATGTTATCTCCTTTCAAATTAGGTCATCAGCTTGGCAATGGCAATTCGTGTTTCTCGTCCCCACAACCCCTGAAACGACCTATCACATAAGTATGTTGCTATTTGTATTTAAAGAATACTTTTTGCGCCAATTTCTTTATTCATTTTGGATTTTAGCCGCCATATTGGATCAACTGTTTGTGAGATGAATTGGAAACTGTCCAAAATGAGTCTGGTGACCAACAAAACCTACAAAATGATCTATAATCCGGGTCATTTCGCCAACACTGTTTGTCACGCTCAATTATTGTCGCATCTTGGATTTTCGGTTCTCCTGAAGTTAGCCAGTAGTTTTCAGAGGTAGAAAACCCCAAGTATCTTAGGTAGGGTCCCTTCTATCAGAAACCATCGTCAAACCCTGTTCCCAAGAAATGGTCATGGATCTGAGTGTTGTGCCTCGACTAACTGAGTTACTCGACATCCCTTGTTTTTATCATCATATTTATTTATTTTCGCTTTTATTTTCGAAACGATGGCCTAAATAACCTCAAAGGCATGTCACTTTAATATTTATATTACAGATATGATTTATATAGTACTGGCAATGAAGAGTTTACAGCCGGGTTAGCTTCTGTCGGTACCTTGTGTAAAACAGACGGCACCAGTGTGTCTGTGGTAGAAGACCGAGGTGGATACCAGAGTATTGTTACAGCTACACACGAATTGGGACACGGGTAAGGATTTTACTTAAATAAAACACGTCTACGTATTATTAGGTAAACGACAATTTAACCTTTATTCTTTAATTGCAAAAAATTAAATGTTCAGAAATTAAGGGTTATTGTAAACAAAAATGGGCGTACACGCAGACATTGGAATGTTTGTTCCAAAAGCTCCCAAGATCTAAAAGAATAGAATTTGTTGGATTTGACACAGTACTGGCTTTAACAATACCAAAAAATAGTTGGGTTTTTTTTGGTTTTTTATTCTAAACCATAAACAAAAGAAACCTTGAAAATCAAAATAATTCTAGTGACATATATAAATATTACTGTGTGGTCAAACAGATGTTTTATATTTCTTCAGGACAAACGCTGAGCATGATGGAAGTGGGAACCCGTGTAAAGCACTGGAAAGATATATAATGTCACCTAGAACATATAATGAAACAGCAGAAACTGCTCTTAACCCATGGAAATTTTCTTCTTGTTCTAAAGATTCCTTTAAAGCCTTCTTATCAGAACTTGTAAATAATTCGTAAGTATGTTGCCACTTCTTAGATATGTTCTTAGTTATTAAGACAATAATACCAAATATTGAAGTAGTACCAGAAGACAAGCTGATTGTAAAACCATGGACGGCTTCGTGGAAGAGGCATGGTATGCTTGCTATTTCCAAACACCTGTTGCTACTCGTCACTGGGCACGTCTGATTTTGTTCTTTCGTAACAATCTTTTTTTTCTTCTTATCCAGGGACACACAAGACTGTGTTACTAAATCAATAAGCCAGACTGGTATACCTAATATTACTAATGAGCTTGCTGGTCAGTTGTATGGTCCTGATGAACAGTGTCGTCACATTTTCTCCGCTGATTCTTATGTATGCCGTGTAAGTCTACTACTTCTTATTGAAATAAAGATCTGTTGATTGGTTAAATTGCCGTGGGAATTCACGTTGAACAAAGTGTGCCCCATTTTCTCCGGAATGCTCCATGTTTGACTCCAATTATTTTTTGTTGCGATCATATTATAATACGTTTTCTTTCCTGCATCTCACATCTTAGAAAACTGTACATTGTAAAAAAGATTTAATATATAACTATACTCAACAAAATTCCAGGGTTAATATTTGGACAATCATACTTATTAATAGGATGTGTGACCCTGACATACATTGTACATATCATCTTATATGTATACTGACGGTAACATATATTTTATCTATATGATAGATAAAGAATATTTAAGTCATCCTCTACCCAGTAGACCTCGTCTTCTAAACCGCCGGTTCAAAATATCGTTCCAGTACTGACGGATATTGTATACCGGGCAGATTAAGTTTACACCTGATAATTATAACTTTGTTTTTTGGAGTTCACATAGCTGACACATTATGTTGTACCGTAATTTCTGACATAATATGTTTTCGGTTTTTTTTTATATTTTAGGATAGAATTTTTGGTAATGAGACTGATATATGTAGAAAGATGTTTTGTCATGTAACTGGTACATTATGTCGAGGTATAATACCAGCTCAAGGTACTTCTTGTGGAGATAAAAAGGTATGTAATTATGGCTACGTATAATCAATAAAACAGATGTATAGTACTAGAAATAAAGTAAAAATTTCAAGCAGAAATTCCCTTCATCTTCTAATAGTAGAATTTATTAATCTAACGGATTGAAAGAAATGACATGAAATCGTAACTTGGTGTTTTTAAGGGGGGTATTTTTATATAATTTACAGTGGTGTATTCAAGGTGAATGTGTAGCAAATATACGTGCCCCAGATCGAGCAGGTATGTACAATGCAGTTGGTCATTTTAAAGAACCCTTCCAATAGCCATGTTGTATGGCACATATCCATTTGCACTTGTTACATGAAAACGCCAAATCCGATATTATTCTAAAAAATAATATATGTGTGAAATATTTTATCGGTCAAAAACACACACACATTAATGAAGTGTAACATAGTCTCTAGAAAGCTTGAACCCGCTGTAGCCTCTGTATTTTAGGCTGGCATACCAATATGTGATATTGGCATCCAATAGTATTTTGTATTGTCGGTTGTATCACACCACGTTTTCCTGATAAGGCACAATCAATTACACACTTTACCGAAGTTCAGGTAGATAAGCATTGCTCAACTGTTCTGTAAGTAGCGTAGGTAAATCACCCAGCACACCAAACTAGTTCTAAAACTGTTGGCAAACGGGCTCAGACTTTGTGCGAACGGAGTAAACGTAGTAGCAGCTGTTTACGGTCTGTTTAAGGACTCCATGGACGGGATAGGACTGGTTTGGACGCGAAGGGGGCTCTAAATGTTCTCCGTCCTGCAATTAGACGGAGTGACAACGTACATGTACTTAAAACGAGAAGGATGTCTATGAACGGAATTGTCGTACTATCAACAGAATTGCCGTACTTCGATCCTAAAAGCGATGTGCTACAACGTGAAGTGGTCGGGCATTAATTAACATTTAGATGGATGTGAGTCTTGGTTTGCTTCAGGGAATTCTGCTGCTGTCCATCTGCAGACTCCATAGGCAAGTTCAGGAGGCTCGGTATCTTGGGCCTTATCTGGTTTGCCATCACAAGAGCTGGAGCTTGGGATGCTTCGTGTAGTACTAGTGTCCTTTTGCCACATTCTTTGGGTGCATAATGAAACAAAGGAGGCAACTATAGTACTATATTAGAATATCTTGTTCTGCACAGCTCGAAGTGTTGAACGGGAATGGGGTTGTACAAGCAATAGAAGCGCGTTCACACGCACTAAGAAATAGATGAGGACAAATTTAACTGTCTCTGAACGGGGTGGCCGGGTTACAAGTTAGTGAAAACCAGTTGCGGACTTACTGGGAATGAGGTAGAACTAGTTACGAACGGGTTTAAACTGACTACGGAATGGGTTTGAACAAGATGGATGTATCGAGGATTGTCTATGAACGAACTGGGATCGTATTATAGATATTATTTACACAATCTACCCCGACCACAATCCGTTTTATTATTTTCTAGGACGCTATAAGGCGTTTTTTTGAGAACTTGTTTGGTGTGATGAGGGCTTAAAGCCTTAACCCTAAATTTTCTAGTTCTTAATATTTTAACTAGAAAAGCTTCATTAACATGGCAGTCACAAGAACACAGTACTCCGACCTCACATGATTTTACAAATAAGAGGGTTAAGAATTAATTTTGATGTTTTTTTCGTCTTTAAAATAATAACCATGAACCTAACAAAGTCATATTACTTTCGTGTTAAGTTTGGGCAAATTATTTTAAGAATCTAAGAAGATATTTGGTGCGTTTTGTTTAATTGTGCCCTTGAATAAGAATTAATCTCGTAAAGTCATACTATTAACTGCCATTATAGTAGCGAAGCCTCGTAAAGTTCGCGAATTTAGGAAAATAGGGTTAAACTTTAAGGCTGAATTTGCGATATTGGCGTATTATGATATTTTGATATGAACATCCTAAAAATTTAAAGGAAGAAATACGAATTCATTCGTGGGCGCCTAACCAATCTCACTGGGCATTATGGGTGCCCTGCCAATTATATTATGGGCGCCCATGATCTCGTCGTCGGCGGCCCACCAATCTCGACATTATGGGCGCCCCTCCGGGATGAGGCACCCAACCAATCATGCCGTTTTAGGCACCCATTGATCAAGTCGTGGGCGCCCAACCATTATGCATTATGTGCGGCCCGCCATCATATATTATCATTATAAGGTGCCCCACCAATCCAATCATGTCATCATGAACGCCCCCCCGGGATAAGGCACCCCACACAGATCACGCCGTTCTGGGCGCCCCATAAATCAAGTTGTGGTGTCAATCGTGTGATTCATTGTGATTCATTATGAGGCGCCTCACCAGTTTGGGGCCCCTCATATATAACTACATGTTTGGCGAGGTGGTCCCCCACCAATCTCGTCGTGTACGCCCAACCAATGTCACTCGGCTTTATGGGGGGCCCACGCTGATATAGGCACGTTGGTCGTTGGCTTTGTATTGCATCCAATGGAAAAGGCGCTTCCGGCGATCATTGGGGGCGCCGATTTTTTCAAGGGGTGCGGTGGGGGGGGGGGGAGCTGGCCCCCTTTCCCCCCCCCCCACCCGCTAGAAACGGGCCTGATTACAGCATTTCAACTGTTGATTGTGATTTCCAGATCCTCGTTAAACTATAAATTTGTTTATGGGATAGATGGAATATACTTTATTTTAAAGACAATTACGGGCACTGATCAAATATTTTTTGAATGTTTCAGCTGGGTGTATATATGGAGACCATGATGGCACGGTACCTAACGCAAAAGAATCAGTAACTTGTAATGATATCAAAACAACTTTTAATGGTTATTGTTACAAAGGATATGCTGACAGTTGCTGTGAAACCTGTGCACAAGTGAAGACCAATAATTCAGGTAATCTATGCTGTTCCGAAGAGGAAGTTAATTCCAACAATAACGTTGAGTAAAGTGTTGTGGTTTCAATCCCAGGCTTGTACATGACACGGGGTAGTTATAATATTTATATGGTATTTGTTATCATATTATATCATATCCTGTTATATTATATATCATATCAAATCTTATCAAGATATTTTTTTAACTCGACAGATTGCTTGTATGGGGATAAGGCCAAAGATTGTAATGTTAATAGATGTGGAAAAAAATTAGAAAATAGCGACATGCTCTATGACGTAGATTGCTGTGGTACGTGTGAGGGAATAACCACTGACATAACTTCTACCACGACCACAACAACTACCTCAATTACACCAAGTTGCACGGATGTTCCTAGCGTTAATGGAAAAACCTGTTCTGAATACTTACAAGACCGAGGGAGTCGTCAGTGTTATGAACCAAAAACTAAGGAGGCATGCTGTGCATCATGTAGACAACGTAAAGAAAATATACTTGGTAAGTAATTCACTCGAATTTGTTGATTTAAATCGAAAAGTCAGGATTCAAGTTTTGGAACACAAAAAAGGGTTATATCTCAACACTGACTTTCTCTATAGACGAAAAAATGTTCAACAAAGACAAAGAAACAATAAATCGACAATTTTCGTTTTCAGTCCAAATCAAATTTACTGATATATGTGCGTTTGTTGTTTGTGGTATATTGTGCCATGCCTGTAGGTGTGTCTTGTGTATTTGGTTGTGTGTGGTGCTAAAATTCGTCGAGCTCATAAATACATTATCAATTATACCGAGATGAAGATATATGTTTCGAAAAACATTAGATATTGCAAATTATTGTTGTTGAAAAATATACACTATATATAATAAAACAAATAATATGACTAGGGCCATTACGAATGATACATCTCTCTAATTGTAAGACGTGCTGATTTATATTGTTGGTTTAATATGTAATTTATTTCTATAATTCTATTTTTCATCGTCATTAGAAATATAATACCTTCAGAAACAAAACAGTTTAAGGGTCGAACATATGACCCTTTTATGCTGGAAATACCCGACTACTAACATTTAACTCCCTGTATGCCCAGTTCACGTTTAGATAGCATATTTCCCCTTGATTCGGCAACAAATGTTAGCAATATTTTAATTAGACTGATTTATATTTTATTTTAACTTTTATATAAAAATAGATTGTGAATATGGTGATAAACCTGAAGTCTGTGACATCAGTTCTTGTGGCAAACCAGTAGAAGGAGGCGGGACGTACACAGATGCGTGCTGTAAAACATGTGCGACTGATACGACACCATCGACACCAACAATGATGACTGATACGCCTTGTGTGGATAATAACGACATTGATGGTATGACGTGTGCTGTGTATATAACCAAGAATGGTAAAGCTAGTTGTTATTTGAGTAATGTTGTAACAACTTGCTGTCAGACTTGTACAGCGTATAAAGTTATTTCTCAACCAGGTATGTTTTTTGTTCTATTTATTAATCTTTATTAGAATTGGAATCTTAATTTTAAAAGGATCAGACCGATTTGGCATGTGTAAAATGAAAAGTATTGAATTAAGAAAGTTTCATGTGTAGAACTGCGTATCTATCTAAGTCACACCAGAATCATACACAGCATTTGATCATTTATTTTTAAAGGAAAAGTCATATTTGAAATATACAAAAGAAAGCCTACCACAAAAGTATTGTTACCTTTTCAAATATCCAAAATAAATGAGAAGTGATATCAGGCGTGGGATTAACGGTGGCTAAGTGAGTAAGACGCTTGTTTGCTACTCTGGAGATCGCGGGTTCGATCCTGGTGTTGGCCGTGAAAGTTCATCAGGATTTTTCGGCGTAGTTTCCCGTTGTCAGCGGTGCAGGACGGAGAGCCTGACCTAGTCATTCGTTCGGATGGAGCGACGTGCACGTAAAATATCCCTTGGAAGTTGGAATTCCCATACCACAATGCATGGCGTATGACCGTTTTTATTAGCCCAGTTTGCAGAATAGTAGGACGTAAAATCCTATATCATTTTGACTGTAAGGTTATATCGGAAGGATTGCGCGAAAAATCTGACAAACCTTTCCCAGATCCCGTACTAGTTTCACACATATATAGGTTTTGAAGAAAATAGCGGACTCTCGCTCGTGCTTTGTGTTTAGATTGGAGTAAATCAGATTTCCGATAGCTAGTTGAGCCTGGGGTCATTTTGAATATATTATAATATGCCACTTTTTGTCTTTTTTGTGTAGGTTGTGAATATGGTGACCGAGAGGCTTCCTGTTCTTCTGTTGATTTTACTAGTTTTGCGGCATGTGGTACACAGAGTAAACAGCAATGTTGTGAAAGTTGTGCTAAGTTGAAAGAGCAACCGGTATCACCGTGTAATGATACGGCGGGTATTGGGGGACTATCTTGCAATGAATATATAGCTAAAAACAAAAAGGTCTCGTGTTATAATGAGGATGTTAAACGCTTGTGTTGTAAATCTTGCCATTTTGTCGCAGACGATAAGAAAAAAGGTAAGTATGTAATGTCTTCGATTACTGTCTGATATTTTAAAGTAACAAGGGGACTGAAATCGAAAATTTCCAATAGTTCTCATAGCATAAATCTCTTATATTCCTTTAACACTGGTTTTTTTCCTCGTGAGATAAACACATTTATAGACATAATTTCACATTTTTCAACAAACTACCAAACGTGTACAGTGTGTTAATAGAGTCTGTGTTGGTGTCCATATTATTGTTGACTGGCAGTGGCACATAATCCCATGGTAGCCTTGCTATGGAGCTTTGGCTTCTAAGTACCCATTGGAGCTGTGTACTGGATCTAATATGCAATATTAACTCGAACATCCGACAGCACTATGTGAGCTAATCAATCTTTGATATTAGTAAATAATTTCCTTTTTTTCAGGCTGTGAATATGGGGACTTATATGCCGATACTTGCAATCTGCTTGACTTTAGCAAGTATGATAATTGTGGTACAACAACGAAATTTTACTGCTGTGATAAATGTTTAAAGTTAGATGATTCTGACAATGCTGATCCTGGTAATGCTATACGAAACGGTGGGAGTACATTGCTCATTGTTAGTCTGCTTTGTATTGCGTTCTGTTTTTGCCATACAAATATGGGGTTGTTATAAATGCCAAAGAAAACTATTTTGATTAACCCACGAGAAAACGTTACTTCGGACACATTCCGAACCAGTTGTCTTTCATACATTAAGTTTGTATTATATTATTCATTGTGCATCCTACTCATTTGTATATCTTACTAAAGATTCACTGTGTGTATAACTTGTACTTTGCTTACATACAGTTGTCATCAAAAATTAATAAAATACAACGGGATATATACCTGGGGCAGGTTGTTCAAAACTCAGTTATTTTAACGACCCGTTAAACGTGTCGTTTGGTTAATTGTTGTTAAATATATTTTACTGGAAAGTCAAGTTAGCTAACGGCCTGATTAAAGTTATTTTTTTTAAATTCAATGTGCATGTAATATAACTTCATAGAAGTTAGTATCAACAAGAATCTGAAGAAAGTGGGACAACTGTGAAGTCTGTTCACAAAATTTGATTAAATACAACAAGATAACTGTAAAATGTCCTACAGAAAACACTGTTAAAAATCTATAGAATACTATAGTATTTTCCGATAGAAATTTTACCATAAATCTGTTGGAAAAAGTATAGGATATGCGCCCTAGAAACTGTAGATCATTTCCTGCAGGCTCCCAAAATTCTGTAAAATACTATATAATTTCATCCTACAGAAAACAAACTCCGTAGAATGTTCTATAGACTTTTATAGAAAACTACACTGGTATTCTATAGCTAAGGGTATAGATAGCCGACTCATGCCATCGCTAAACCGATAACGGGGCTCAACGCCGTCGTTAAATATAACGGCAAGTTAACATGTTAAAGATAACGGGGCTTCCTGCAACAGACTTTCTCTCCGTGAAAGATAACAAACTGTTAACACCATGCGAGTCTTTATAAGTTAACAGAGCTTTGAACAACCGACCCCTAGACATTTTAAATAGGGATCAAGCGACGTTGAATTATTTTTCACCTGTGGACAGCGGGTTCCTGGTTATACTAACAACAGAATCCATAGAAAGAGGTCGAAAGGGACCGAAAGTCGAGTGGGTTAACAAACTAGTTTGGCTGTTAAAAGATGAAATCTCAAGGTCAGATTTGATGCACTTAAGCTACTATTTAGAATTCGTATAACTGCTTTTGAAATCATTGATTTGTACCCATTCCTTTCAGTGCGCCACTAATATTATCACAGCTAATGTCAACGGCTAGTGTCATCCCTTTCTTAATCAGTTTCCTAAAATGAAGTGTCCCAGATCAGTTTGACTACAAAAATAGGGCTTCAGACTTAGTCGAATTTTTTTGGCTATGGTAAAAATAAGACTGCACTTTTCTGATGTCTTATAACTTCATCTTCGGTTTAAAATATTGTATATTTTGTTTGTTTTCTGATGTTTTTTTTTTTTGTTTTTTTTTTTGTTTTTTGGGGGTGGGGGTATTGGGTTTTTTTATTTGTCCTGATTTATGTCAAATGAAATGTTAGAATCTCAAAAACACCGAGTATATATGCTGTGTATATATTAAGGGTAAACCTTTAAACTATAGTCAAATCGAGGGAAGAAAAAATGGTTGTTAGTAGTCTATATTTAAATATGCCGGTATTATATACTAATACAATGTATGCTGATATAATATTGTTCTAGGAATTATATTTGTGGGATTTATAATATATTTGTAAATAAAACTAATGAAATGGTTCGAGTGTTTTCTGTAAGATCGTGAAGTTCGAGAAATAGCCTATACGACTAGACGCCGTTTTCCATAAGCCTGGCGCACACTGCGCGACGACATAGTCGATTTCGGTCGCCGACGATGAAAAATCAAAAACTCGCCTAGTGTGAGAACTCGATGGCTAGCGATTTTCCGTTGCCAATGACGTTTGATATGAACGTCCTATCCGTCGCTTCATCGGCAACAAATCGTGTAATGTGCTCACCTCGGCGACAAGTTAAGCGACAAACAAAGAAATAAATCCACTTATTAAACCAATCATTTTTGGTTCGTCTTCTCATCTGACACAACCACACACGTGGTTTCTCAGAATTCATTTTTGTTGCATGGTAATCTAATTTAGGCCTAACTGACTAATTGAAATTAAGTTTGCAATTCTGGCATACGGTAGGCCCAGTGGATTGTTCCGTCTATATAGCAATATACTCAATTATAATATAGTCCAAGGATTAATAGATGGTAATTACAATAGGCGTTTTTTTCCAGTACCTGTACCGAGAAAACCCATCCAGAACGCAGGTTATATAACAATTCTTCCAGATCCTAGTGTAGTACAGACAAATAAAACGAAATTTTGAACTATAAAAAACGAAACGAAATAGGATCTGTGTTCTAATCTCAGATTGTTATATTTACTTTTACAAGTACATTTATGTTGCCATTCACGTACTTCTATAGTTTGTATGAATTGGACGTATTTTCTTCAAAAAAAATATATCACAGACGCGCAGGTATTTACACATGACTAGGGTAAAACTCTGCATGTAATATGAATTATTTCTGATACTAATTGGGTTTTTTTTGTTTTTTTATATAAATATAATGTTTTATAATACTAACATAATTTTCCGAATATAAAAGAAGACATGGTTAGCTCAGAGGGCATTAAAAAGTTTAGTGAATTTATGAAGTCATTATTGTTCTCCATCGTGAAAGATTGGTTTCTTGAAACTTGTGATTTGTTTATTATCTTTATATTTTAGTGTTTCATGATAACATAAAAAAAAGTCACATAGAACTTAAAAGACATCGTTCTAAAAGTGTAATTTATTTATGCTAATTATACAATTAGTTAATACCGTAGTTAGCTAATTAAACCCAGCAAGCCTCTAAATGATCTAATATTAAATTCAGAAGGACTGCACCGCATATAAACACACACTCATAAGATAAACCGGTGGACAAGACACACAACACATTGATATTTCACGTAATAAACAGCAAAAGTATATATCAAATCAAGTGGATTATAAACATCATCGTAGCCTCTATCGAGTGCACAAGGTTTCGGAAAAGGGGGCATAATATGTTGAATACCGATAGGATTCGCCATCCTGTAATCACGATGCTTCAAACCTAATTTGAAAAGAATCCTTCAAAACGGTAGCGTTCACAAACCAATTGTTGACAGATTGACGGACAGGGTGGCGACATCATGCGCCAACACTGATATGTGGGCTTATACGTGTACACAACATTGCCAGCTAACTACCCATTCTGAAACAAACTATCTGTCCATTATTAATAAACTGTCCATTATTAAAAGACTTAAAATGCATTATGTAAGAGCTAAACCTGCCTATTACAGGCTTCAAATGTTATACAAATTATTATTTAGACATTTATTCACATGCCAAGCCTATAATCAACTTTCTAGACTATCGGATGGCTCAGATGTTAACGGATTAAATTACGATCGCCATTTAATGATGTTGTGTATTTGGATTCATACAACACTAACATTGGGCGTGATGATTTTGATTTTTATTATAACCGCCATGACATTGTAACATATCAGATAAGGGGCGTAACTATATTGAGTAGAGATAATACGGATCCACTACACAACACCTCTCTCCAACATCAAATGTCTCCTGAAAAGCATAAACATAATAAACACAATAAAAGGGAAACTGTCACTAGGTACATAGGTACTCTGAATACCATTTTTCCGTAGAAATGATGTATACTCAGTTGAGTGGAAAGGAGGTCCGTTGTCGGACACTATTTGCTCGGGTAATCCGTATCTGCCGAAAATGCTTCGTAAGGCGTCAATAGTTGCTTGAGCATTAGTTGTTCTCATTGGACCATAAATCTCAGGCCACTTAGAGTGAGCATCGACCAATATCAGGAAATGTTGACCTTCGTAAGTAGCAAAATCAATGTGGATACGTTGACATGGTCTGGAGGGCCATGTCCACGGTGTTAATAGGGCCTTAGCTAGATTATTTCGTATTTGTATACATTGCTGACAATCTCTAGAAATACGTTCAACATCTAAGGCTATGTTAGGCCATCATACATAGCTTCTGGCTCGGCTTTACATTTTAACTACCCCAAGATGGGCATTGTGAAGTTCGTCAAGGATTTTGGCTTGTATAGCTGGAGGTATGATTATTCGGAGTCCCCATAATAAACATCTTTTTTCTATAGAGAGTTCATGTTTGCGATGAAAGTATGGCTGAAAGTATTCGGGATCTGGACATTTTTCCGGCCAGCCAACTTGAGTAAGACGAAGGACACTGGAAAGGGTTTTGTCGACTCGTGTGGAATTTCCTATGTGAACAGGAGTAATCGGCATTTTGTCCAATCTTGGCGAACTTGCATAGATGTTTCTTCGGTAGAGTGATCTGATGTCTTAGGACGCGTAAATCTAGATAATGCATCAGCGTTCACTATCTCGTCGAATTTCTTATACTTAATGTCGTGCGTGTAGGATCAGAGTAAAGTGACCATCTGTGGATTCTGGCGGCAGCAAGTACTGGCGTCGGACTGTCTGGGGCCAAGATTTTCAGAAGAGGCTTATGATTGGCGTACAGGATAAACCGCTTGGCGAAAAGGCACATATAGATCTTGGTTATGCCAAAGATAATGGCTTAAGCCTCCTTCTCGATGTGACTGTAGTTTTTCTTTGCACCGTTGAGAGTTCTTGAGGCATAAGCTATCGGTCGTTTGCTGCCATCTAGAAATCTCTGTGAAATGACAGCCCCAATACCATACTGACTTGCATCACACTCAAGGATTAGAGGAAGCTTCGGATTGAAGTGTGCCAGTGCATATGAGAACGATAAGGCTTCCTTGCAGATGAGAATGCTTTCTGACAGTTAATATGCCCTGCCTCCCTGAAGCAATCGATTAAGAGGATGAACTATACTACTCAATGAAGGTATGGACTTCTCAGTTCAGTAGTATTCTCGGGAACAGAAGCATCGCGGATTGCCTTTATCTCATCTCTAGGTGAGATTCCATCTTTGGATATGACGAAACCCATGTAGATGACTGAATCTTGAAGGAACTTGCATTTTTCTAATTTCAGTAGAAACCATATTTTGAGAGACGTTGAAATATCGCTTCTACATTAACGATATGGTGTCTGTCGTTGGCTCCAGAAATCGTTGGATGCAGATGATATTATCTATGCCTTGGGGTATTATATCCATAGTTCTCTGGAAAATGCTTGGAGATGATGCAATGCAAAAGGGTAACCTCTTGTAACGATAGCGTGTTGATTGTGACGTATTGTTGACTGTCTTTATCAAGGAGTAACTGTTGGTAAGCACATTTGAGGTCGAGTTTCGTAAACTTATAGCTTCCTGAAAACGTCATCCGGGAGTGGAATTGGATATGCTGGGATATTGAGTTGAGGATTCACAGTTATAGCGTAATCTCCACAGGATCTTGTGGAACCATCGGATTTAGGAACATGAACTAAAGATGTCGCCCAATCGCTATAGTCAACTTTCTCGACAACACCTTCGCTTTCTAATCTCTGGAGCTCTTCCTCCACAGCAGGCTGTAAGACATAGAGTACTGGTCTTGTTCTGTAGAACTTCGGTATAACATCAGCTTTCATATCTGGATATGTCTGAATAATATTCTCTAATTGAGTGTTAGTTATCTTGGGCTGGATGCGGAAGATGTTGTGTCAGTCGAGCTTGATTCTGGATAATCAATCACTGCCAACAAGCGAAGGACCGGAACCTTCCACTACTGTAACTGTTAAACGGATGTGCTGGTCTTTGTAGCTTGATTTTACCAGTGTAAGAATGTAAACTGGCATTTCAAAAGGAATATCCTTGAAATTAGATCAATATGTCTGATCAGAAATTATTGATAGCCCAGAACCAGTGTCAACCTCTATTTCTAAACCAATATCGTTTATTCTGAACGGAACTGAGCATTCCAGACTGATGTGGGTTTATTTTAAATATGGCTACGGGTTAATTATCATCTTCTTCGTAATAATCATCTTCGTAAGTAAGTTGATGAACTTTCGACCTTCGGGAAAGTTTGTGTTTCGGATTATGACAGGCACTTGGAATGTCACCATGTCTGTTACAGTTGTAGCATGTAGCATTCCCGTATTTACAGTCATCTCGCTGGTGGTCGGATTTCCCACAACTCAAACATGTGTAACCCTTGGATTGCGAAAATAAGTTTGAATTGTTTATGTCTCTGGATCGATGCCTGGATTTTTTTTTGGAGCAGGCATGGTTGGGACAGGTTTCGGAGTGTACGATCGTCTCTGGTGAATTTGGTTTACCTCTTGAGATAATATTTTGATTAGTTGAAGTTCGGCTAAATCTTTGTCAGCTGTTTCATGGGACAAGGCAATTTTTAGACAATCTTTTAAATTCTTTGTTCCTGACAATAACATTTTTTGAATGATGGAACTTCTCAGCCCACAAACACATATATCTCGCAATGCCTCTTTATGGTGCTCTCCAAAAATGAAATGAAATGAAATGGGGTTTAACGTCCAACTGTTCTGCTCCTAACCTGGGCTAATGAAAACGGTCATACGCCATACAGTGTGCTATGAGGGAAATTTTGCCAGGGCAGCGGCGCTACGGCCTACTCTTATATCGAATTCCAACTGCCAAGGGATCTTTTACGTGCACGCCAATGTGTACACCGGACCTAGGTTTTTCGTCCCATCCGAACGACTAGACAGCTGTCCTTGTCAGGCCCTCCGTCCTGCATTACTGACAAGGGGGAAACCACGCCGGAAAATCTGGATGAACTTTCTCGGCCAATGCAGGGATCGAACACCCGACCTCCAGGATAGCGAGCCAGCGTCTTACCCACTTAGCCACGTGATCCCCCTGGTGCTCTCCAAACTCACAGGTAGCGGCTAATTCTGATAATGACTCTCCCGGTTGTTGTAAAACCGAAAGCGTTCAGCTACAATGAGCCTTGGCGGAGCCATATGTTATACTAAAATGTCTACCATTTCTGCGTAGGATTTTTGGGATGGTATAGGGTAGAATAGGTGGTATCCCCGATGCAGGATATGAGGATAGCCCGTCGACGAGAAGTTCGTTCCTCATCTTCCGGAATTTCATTGGCCACGAAATATTGGCCTAAGCGCTCAAAATAACGCATAATATTACCAGTGGTGGAGTGAGTCAAAAGGTTCAATTTTACCCAGTAGAGACATTTTTACCAGTGGTGGAATGAGTCAAAAAGGTTCAATTTTACCCAGTAGAGACATTTTTACCAGTGGTGGAGTGAGTCTACCCAGTAGAGACATTTTTAAATTTATCTAGTCGCCACTATTTGGTGTATTTGGATTCATACAATACTAACATTGGACGTGATAAGTTTGATTTATTATGACCGCCATGACATTGTAACATATCAGATAAGGGGCGTAACTATATTGAGTAGAGCTAATACGGATCCACTACACTACACATGATTTAATTTAAAAATGGAGAAGCAAGGCTGAGTCTCGATCAACAAGAAACGTTGCTACGATAATAAACAAGCTATGCCAAAACTTCAAACAGTAATAACGTCGCTCAGAATAAAGTAATTTGAATGAAATTTTTAATATAATAATTTTGAATCATTTGTTTTTGGAACTATTATAGAAAGGACAAGCAACTCCATGTGTAAATCTTACTTAATGCATCTTTAATAATATACAGTTATTTATTAAGAAGTGAGTAATGTTGATACATTACACCAAGGTCCGGGGGGGGGGGAAAGTCCCAGGGGCCCCATAAATATATATTTAGGTTGGTTTTCTTTACGTTGGCATAACCGGTATTCGTGTCGTAGAGCCCTCAATCCCATCCATTGGTCTTAATGTCCTTGCACAGGTGTGTGTGTTGAAAGGTGGGGTGGGGGATAAGTTTTTCTTGCTTGGGCACATAACAATTACCTCGGTGGCCTTTATTACACCATTATAATCGACACATTACACCATATATATAACAAAGGGTGGCGTCATCGCTTTGGTTTAATTGTTTGAAAGTTTGAAAGATACACCCACCTTAAGATCCCTCTATTGATAAAATTTTCAGATTTCTTTTTCGTTTTCCTGGACTGAGAGAACTCTGTAGAAAATCAAACATGTCGGCTATTGAAGAATATTCATCTGTTTGACAATGGAATCCGAGGTTGAGATTACACGATCGCTTTCTGAAATAGTAAAAGAATAGATTAAGGAGAAAATACTGAACAAAAGTATTCCTATCTGTCTGCTGTCCAACGTTAACAGTTCTTTCCTGGAGTTTTACCTCCACTTCCACCAAGGGTGATATCGTAGACAATGAAAACGGTAACAGCACATTTTGCTAAATATTGTTACCGTACTGGTTGTAGTAGTTCTATTTAAATCTACAATATTTCAGATAAAACTTTAATTTTAAAAATGAATGTATGTAAACTCTAAGGACAATAATTATTCTATTTCTTCAAAACACTGTGTGTGTTTGCTATTGAAAGGTGACTATAGTCAAGGGTGAAATGTTACGTAATTCAAATGACATGTTAATTTATTATAATCCCTTATTGTTTATAAAACTGTTATAGATAGAAAGTAACTGACAATATGGTCTGTCAGGAAATCTGGGTCTTATACCTGCCCGAGCTACCTAGCGTACGTTAGTTTCAACCATTCAGGCCATCTCGGCACACTTTGGCATGTACGTAAAAGAACCATTGGCAATTGGAATTAAAAGAAGAGTTGGTAGAAACGCTGCAGTCCAGGGAAACTTTCTTCGTGGCAATCTTCGTCTTTATTAGTCCAATTTGTGCAGAAAAATAAAACGTTGAAAGTTTGATTAATAAACATTTAATAAATACGCTTACCTATTTACATTGGTCTTAGTTTCAGGTTTATTCAATAGATCGTTTAATAGTTGAATAAGATAACTCCTTTTAAGTTTATTCTGTTGTTGACCTCTAAAATGGAAAGAATAAGACATCGGGTGTGTGTTATGTATTAGATGTATAGTTCAGATTGTAAGGGGTGGGGTGTGTGGCATGGTGGTTGTGTTTTTAAATCCAGACCCAAAGAAATGTCGGGTTTTATAAAACTGGTTGAAAAGCACATCTGCATATTACCAAAAACTGATGTCGCGTGTATACATTTGCAGTGAACGGGAAAGACCCCTTGGCAATTATAATTCGAAGATGAGCAGTGAAAATTGTACCCTTTGCATTGTACCTATAGCCATAAGGTTAGTCATAACACTTACGACTTCTGTCCAATGGGCTCCTTATTTACTACTTCAAAATCTTCCATAGCTTTGTGACGAAAATATTTCCGTATGAAAATAACCCCCAAGAACTCAAGGTGATGACTTTTAAATATAAGACTTTTCTTGTTTTGTAGATTTAGGGTTTTACATGCACCACGAAAAACAAAACAAAACAAAGAACAGAGGGTTGGATGACCGAATGGTTAGCGAGAGCGCATTGTGTTATGAGGTCTGTCATTGAGTCAACTGGCGTGGTTTTGATTCCCCGGTTGTACGTGACCTTATGGGTTTTCTTCGGGTTTTCCTGTTTCCTCCCACTGCTAAAGACTCCTACGCGCAAGCGAATTATTGAAATAAAATTGAAACATGTGTTAGTCCCGAAATGACCTAGTTTGTGTCAAGTGGACGTTAAACCCATCCCTCCCTCTCTCTCTCTCTCTCTCTCTCGCACCACGGAAATTGAAATCCAGGTAAAATTTAGCCAAGGTCAGAGAAATCAGCGATTATGTTTAAGACGTATTATCTTCTAATTGATAATGAAGATCCATTTTGTTTTCAATGATAGCCAGGTGAAAGCTAGGTTCAATCATTTAGGGGGAAATTGTTTCCATTTTGCATGGTATACACTTACTATAAATCAGTTTTGTCTAAATAACATTTACAACCTTCATTGAAGAATATTCATTCGTCTTGATGTTACGAAATGCAATATTAAAGCCGCTGATTGGCATTTGCATTTTTCGGATAGTATCGAATTTCTACGACTCCGCGTTATAACGTTATAATGTACTCAAGTTGAATATTTAACATTTATGAAGTAAGACTACAAAAGCAACAGTAAGACTGGTGTACTCCGCCGATATCCTAAAGTGAGTAGATGACACATACACATTTCTCTTTTAGAAAAGTATCGAGCAAACAAACTCATCATATCTAATCTTAGTCTAAACAGAAAACGTTCACAATCGAACTCAGTCAAGGTTCAGTGCTCTCGCCATCAGTTGAAATTATCTTGTCCCAAAGCATCAGCCAATGAAATTACTTAGCTCTGTTTAGCTTTAGGGGGGAAACGTTAATCATTGAACTCAGTCAAGACATTCACCTAATGAACATCTACACATTCTCCCGCAATTAAAAACAGAGTTGTTGTGTTCCAAAGTTTTGACCAATCAAATTGCTTATCGCTACTTAGCCCAGACAGGAAATTCTCATCATCGAACTTAGTCAAGATATTGGTGTAATGGATTTATACTTTTGAGTTTCATCTCACCAACGTTATCGTGTTCCAGGGTCTCAACCAATCAAAATAGTGGACAAATGAGCATAATTGAACGCTCTCGAGGCATTCACCTAATAAACACCTGCGCCAAGTTTGAACATGCTACCTCATTTGACAGGAGAGTACTTGTGTCCCAAATAGTGTGACTGACGGACAGACATACATACAGAAGGACAGAATGACAATAATATTGGAGCTTGCAAGCCATTCAAAATCACTCAAAATGACACCAGCAGCTTCAACGTGTATATACTGCAATAATAAGTAATTTTAATACCACTCTATCAAGTGAACTACACCTAAGATTATACTCATGACATTCTGTGACTTACTTGAAACTATAAAAGTAAACTTTTTAAACCATATGATAAAACTTATGTAAAATTCAAAGAGCAAAAATAGACATTCAGTTTATTATATCAAAAATTATCTAGATGTTTGTAATATTTAAATTAAAGAATATAGGGGGTGTTCGTGTGTGTATAAACGATAAATCTAAAAGATAAATTTAAAATGTTTATCAGCGTTTGAAGTGGTTTTTGTATATCAAGGTCAGCTGAGTCAATGGAAGTTCTTTTTAAAACATCAACCGAGATGAAAAGGCTTATATTTGACAGGTGTAACCCAAAACCAAAACTCTACTTTCCCGATAAACAGAATGACGATCAGCGGTAAAGTTCAATACACTAGAACATAGGCCTACTAGGCTTATAAAAGGAGAGAGAACCTAAAGAGTTTTTAGGATACGCGTTCAAACCTACCAAAGAAGTCAAGATGAATCACTAAGCATGACTCTGGGTCACTCACTAGTCCTCGCTATTTTCCCTTTGCCAGTAATGTCGGGCGACGGTCTGAAAACTACCGAAGTGTCGGGTATACATTGGTTTGCAGAACCCTTGGCAGTTGAGTACACGGGACCTACGTTTTTCGTTCCTGAACGACAAGACGTTGTACACTGCTGGGCCCTCAGTCCTGCACCACTGACATAGGGGTCATTCCATATCAACTGATGCAAGGTTTTAACCCGACCCCTCCAGATTTTTCCAATTTTTTTATATTTTGTTATGGATCCTTTGAGATGACCATATGCCAAATTACAGGCCTATCGAACAATTTTTCGCGAAGTTATGGCGCCCAGAAGAGTTCTATGTCGGAAAATTGAGTCACATCCATCCGCAAATTTGCTAATTTCAAGCAACGAATTAGGCAGGTTCAAAAGCCAATAGACTTATTTTAACTTGCTTTTCTAATGGAACTCTGGCCAAATTTTCCGAATCTGGCATTATTCTTGGTCTACGCCTAAACCCTTGGTCTCTAACTTGTACTGAATTTGGTATAAAAACGACTGAAAATCGAAACTTTGTGACGCGTTCACAACCAAACTACGAGTGCGGCTAATGTCATCTCAGGATACTCTGGAGCTCTTGGACAGGTCTTATGGCCAAACAAAAAAATTAGGTTCTCTGGCCCCGGGTTTGCAGAAATTTTCGCACCTGAAAATTGAAAATATCGAAAATTTCACATTTTCACGCTCAAATTTCGAAATGTGGGGTCACATAGATTTCGACGAAAATCGCATGGTAGTAAGAACCATCCAGTGTCATGTTTATGTGAAAGTATGATTTTTGATATTTTTCTCCTTCATACATATTTTTGACAATAAAAATACATAAAATAACTTGATTTCACGATTTCTGTTTTGGAGCGAAGTGTACGTTTGATGCATGTTTTCTCACTCAATGAGGCAGAAATGAGGTATTCCGGCCTCAACTAAGCTGTCGCTCCCAGTATTCTTCCAGAAAGTGTCGCCAAAATGGTGTTAAAAGTTGGCAAATTGCAAACTATAAAATATAAAAAAATTGGAAAAATCAGGAGGGGTCGGGTTAAAACCTTGCATCAGTTGATATGGAATGACCCACAGGGAAACCACACCGGAAAATTGCGAGGGACTTTGTCGCCCACCACCGAGAACAAACCCGAGACTTCATGTCTAGTGAGTTAAGAGTCTTACTCGTTGAGCCACCGCGACTCCCTTTTTCAAACCAAACATTATGCCTTTAAATGTTTAAGTCGATTAACAACATTGCAGACAATTGTTTAATCTGTTGGGTTTTTTGAATGAGTAGATCGATATAAATGGAGACAACCTTGGAATGGACCAGATCAATGACAAAAGTACACTCATACTTTACAGTTTTTAAAGAATTTTTTTCTTTAAAACTGGTATGAAGCATTAAGGTCACGAGAGGGCGACCCTTATCGATATTCAGCGTTCTTTCGTTCAAGAGTTACGCCCCCTGTTTCGCGATAGAGGCTACAATTTTGAATGATTGTTGTTAAAATTTGGTGCCCAGCATTGGATTCATGGAAGGACGAACCCTGTCGGTTTTCAACTTTCATTCAGCAACCCGCTTTGTTTTCAAAAACCTTGTGAATTTGTTAGAAATGGCATGGTGATGTGGTTTAACGTCCTACTGTTCTGCTCCGACTGGGATAATGAAGACGGGCATACGCTATACAGTGTTCTATGAGGGACATTTTGCCCGCACAGCGGCGCTACGGCTTACTCCTATATCAAATTAAAACTGTCAATGATTCTTTTACGTGCACGCCAATATGTACACGGGGTCTTAACGTCCCATCAGAACGACTATACTGTACATTGTTCCTTGCCCTGCCCTCCGTCCTGCACCACTGATAATAGTTCTTGTGACAGACCTGGGATTTTGGAGCATCATTACCAATTTGATTAATAAATTAAACCGTGATTTTATACTGGAAAAAAGCAAGGTTTTGGCATTTTTTCAAGATTTATTTTATAACTTTACTACCAAATCATGATCAGAGTAACTTTAGCCAAATTGTGTATATGGTCTGCTTAAGTTATTCATTTGGCATAAATAAATACGCTCAGTGGTTCTCTAGCCCTGTACAGCTGCGGTGGCCACAAATTCAACAAAAGTCTTAAGTAGACTATCAAATTTAAAAATGTTAAACGTCGGCGAGGCAGGGTACCAACTTAGTGAACGTTTAGCTATGGGTGTCACAATCGCAACGATATTTGGGGAGGGGTTGTTTCTGAGGCAAAATTTGTCACTAAAGACAATTCTGAGATTATGTCAGTTCTGTGACGTCATTTTCGGTTGGGGATCTGTCCGATTTCCAAAATGGCCGCCAAAATTTAACGAACAAAATGAAAATGAATTTCTAGTTAGGATAGGTGAGTATCACCCAAGGTAAGGCTTGTGATATAACATATATAGGGTTTTTTTAGCCACTGAACTTAAAATTGATCTCTAAAATTAAAAGTTTTTTCGATACACCTAGTTGTTAAAAATGTGCGCCCTAATGTTAGGTCACAAATGGTTATGCGATGCGTGTTTACAGCCATTGTGGTAACAATTCCAGGGATGGAATGGAAAGGGGTATGGTAGTTTCAAGGGTCTCTAAACTGGTTAATGATCTTGCGTAGTTTGGCGTCCCCTGATGAATTTACGTTGTTTTTTTATGAATTGTTAAGAAAGACACACATTAAATATGTGTATAAGTTAGAAACACCATGATATACCATAGAAAGTACCATTTTCATACAGTTTTTCAAAAACATTTCGCGCCCGTTTGGAGAGAAACTCCCCCCCCCCCGCCCCATAGTGTGGGAACCCCTAACGAAGCAAGGATCAGAACCCCTAAATATTTTCTATCCAGACGGACCTCCCGTATAATTATCTACAGTATAACCCAGTACCCAGTTAAACAGTTATTTTCTAGTGGTTTATATACTGGAGATATGAGGATGATATTATCTATATAAATATATTTACAGTAGTCAGCTATAAGGATTAACTACCAGTTATCATATAAAACATACCAGTCCTCGGGCCACATCTCTAATTGGTAAAAAAACCTCCATATAAACCCTATTTCCTTCTTATATCAATAACTCACTTTGTTATCGCTATTTTATATCACTAACGTCCCTACTATACAGTACATTATAAACCTCATTTCACACCCTGAACATCTTTTTGATATGTGGAAGCGTTGGGGGGGGGGGGCTAACGTCCACTCGACACAAACTAGGTCATTTCGGGACTAACATATGGTTCAAGTTTATTTCAATAATTCGCTTGCGGGTAGGGGGCTTTAGCAGTAGGATGAAATCGCAGAACCATGAGAAAACCCACGAGGTTGGTCAGGCGACCCTACTGGTACAAGCGGGGAATCGAAACCACGCCACTTGACTCAGTGCACACATTATTATGTCATTCACACGGGACGTGAGATTCTACAATTTATAATAGTTGTTGCTAAATTCACCTCGGTTGGAAAAAACTAACATTTCTACAGGTAGCTTATTGCGCGTGCAATTGAGACGGAAACTTATATACCTATTGTTACTTTGCTCTGACCTAGTTGCAGGTCTGATTTCGTGAAAAGCATCGCGAAAAGAAATAAATGACAATTTGCCAAATCGTTCAATTTCACTCGCTGTAATATAATGATGTCTTGGATTTGTAGATCGAGATTGACCGAAAACAGCCTATGGTGTATATATTTCTAAACAAGTTAAGGTTTATGCTTGGCTAGTCGTAGGACTTAGTTTCTCGCTAATAGCTATAGTAGTCATCATAGAAATAGACTGAAATGAACTGGTGTAAAACCTCCTCCTTTTCTGCACCAACCGGGAAAATGGAGGCGCGCTTACGTCATTCCACCCGCATGCGTTAAGAAAAACGGTTGCCCTTGTAGCGGCCTTTCCACCCACTCTTCTTCGCTTTACAACTGTCAACGGTTCCTTTACTTGTACACCAATGTATACACAGGACGTTTGGTTTTCGCCCCGTCCGAACGACTTTACGCATTCGTCATTGAAGATATATCTATTTAATCCAACCATAATACGTAAATGTACGCTGATTTGAATTTTTGTATCTATTAACCATGAATTTGAATGCCCTTTAGTACCGCTATAATTTTAATACCAAATCCAAGCAGGGCAACACGCTGTATGGGCAGCTGTTCGATCACGTATTCTAGCCTACTTGGGACATTCAGTCGAGCCCTGGTATCTCAGTTGGGCTTATATCTCCAAAATGCGTCGTTCGAAATTGTCGTGCAGATCAAGTGTCTCTATAATATCACAAATACTATGGCGTCGCTGTTTTCATTAAAACTGCTACAAGATCTGTGATGAGAAAACTTACAAATTAAAGTTGAAAGGAAAATTACTTCCTTCATGGACATTCCAACAAAATCGTTTCATTAAGTCATTAAGAATATGTTTAGAGCAACTGAGGAAAATATTTATGAAATACACTTATATTATTTAGTGGAAGATAATAAAATGAGATTTTCTTTTAATTATTAAGTCTTGCTTTTTCGACTTGAAAAATGACTGTTGATACTACGGCCTACTCTTATATGGAATTCCAACTGCCAAGGGATCTTTTACGTGCACACCAATGTGTACACGGGACCTCGGTCCCACCCGAACGACTATATGTTGTCCCTCTGACAAAGGGGTCCCCATCCGGAAAATCCCGATGAACTTTCTGGACCAACGCTGGGATCGAACACGGGACCTCCAGGTTAGCGAGCCAACGTCTTAATTACTGAGCCCACATCATTACCCTTTATTAAATGCCCATTATTACTCATTGATATCGACGAATTTTACCTTGTGGGTCGTGGAGCCGGTATCGCGTTGTCCGTCTTTATTGGCATGGTTAAGACGTTAAGCCCAGTTTCATTAATTTGGGGACGGGGGGTATGGCCGAATGGTTTGCGCGAGAGCGTTGTATCATGAGGTTTGTCAATGGGTCAACTGGCATGGTTTCGATCCCCCGGTTGTACGCGACAAGAAGTATGGTCGCCTGTCAAACCTCGTGGGTTTTCTCCGAGTCCTCCGGTATCCTCCCACCGCTAAAGACCCCTACGCGCAAGCGAATTATTGAAATAAAATTGAACCATATGTTAGTTCCAAAATGACATAGTTTGTGCCATATGGACGATAAACACACTCTCTCTCTCTCTCTCTCTCTCTCTCTTCCCCCCTCTCTCTCTCTCTCTCTCTCTGTCTCTCTCTCACTCTACCCGTCACTAACACAATTACTTTTACTTGGATATGGGCAACACTATATTTATCTTCCAGAAATATGATTAATAATGAAAGGTATTTTGACGAATACTGAAAGGACAAAACATATATATATAAATTGATTTTGAATATATATTTAAATAGACAATGAATTATAACCTACCTGCTGATATCTCGAGGATGGTACATCTGTAAATGTACTTGGTTTACATAACTGAGTAATATAGTGAGAAAAAATATACAAGGTATTCCCATAATCGAATTTTATCTGTAAATAAAAAAGATGGTAGAAAGTTAAGAAGTAATTACATAATCGCAATAATGCGAAAGACAATAACCACCAAAGAAAGAAGGGAGCACAAACTATGCCACATGCTGTTTTGTATTGCCCGTTCAGAGAGAACTCTAAGAAAACCCACGAGGTTAGATATCCCCAAAGAATTTTAGCTCAACAATACTGAAATTTTGTCCTCTATTTGCGTTTGAGATTCTGGCTAAGTAAACAGCTCTGAGTGCGGTTGTAGGCATAATATTCCTAAAGCAATGGCCAGAGAAATCCCTCTCTGGACATGGCTGCATTGACTTCTGATACTTGAGCTTTTGAGGGAGTGTGTTTATTCTTGTTCAATTAAATCTCTCCTAAGTACACCAACCTGACTGCTCTTCGTTTAATCTGGAGTCTTTTCTAAAACTTTGGACAGTGATTTAAGTTATTAAAAACGGCGAAAGTATTGTTCGTCTCCAAGCAGTATTGTTTACACAGTAGCCGTTTTGATAGCCTCGTTTGTCAAGCAATTAGTTTTTCCGCAATATTCTGCTATGCACTGATTAATTGGGCGTAATAAATTTCATGAGTCATGACGTAACGCTATGTAAACATATCTGGAGCTCTGTTTAAACCCGAATGGTATTGTTACGCAGTTAGGTATCGGTTGTAATCGGGCTATGGACCAGTCATAATTTGGAACAGAAATTTGCTTTCATTACAGCAGTGTTTGAGTGGGATTAGGCCTAATCAAACGAAACACTGCGAGGAGTATGGGTTGTAAGTGGTTGATGCTCTTCAAAAAGCAGAGCTTAGATAAGGGTTCCAAATTTGTTTTTATCGCCAAGATAATTGAATTGAGAAATGATCGATATTATCTGGTTCGAAATATCCCATTTTTTATACGCACAAATTTCATGAGAGGACAAACTGTATCGATATGCCGAGTGGTTATGAGAGGACGAACCATTTTCAGCATTCTGTGACTTTCCATTCCGGAGTTATTCCCCTTTGCCGAAAACCTTGTTAACGCGACAGAGGGTGTAGTTTTCAACGAATTCTGTTCAAATTTGGAGTAAAGTATTGTTGTCATGAGAGTTTAACCCTATCGACATTCAGCGTTCTAACGCGAAAGAGTCTACATTTTTTACAAGATTTTTTTTCAAATTTGGTTTGAAGCATTGTGGCCAGAACAAGACGAACCCTGTCGATATTCAGCATTCTGCCATTTTTTATTTCAGAGTTATCCCCCTTTGTTGAAAACCTTGTGGACGCTATAGAGGCTACAGTGTTTGATTGATGTTTTTTTTTCAATGTAACTTGACGTTGTTTTTAAGAATATACTCCCACCCCAAGCCACCACCAGCCGAAAAGCTTGTGAACAAGATAGGTTCTGTAGTTTTAACGGATATTTTTCAAATTTGGTGAACCTATTTGTTTCCAGCATTCTGCAACTTTTCGTCAGATTTATCCCCCTTTTCCGAAAACATTGTTTTTGACGGATTTCTTTCAAATTTGGTGGGAAGCATTCGGGTCATGAGAGGACGGCCCAATCGATATTAAGCGTCTGTGACTTTCCGTTCCTGAGTCATTCTGCCTTGTGAACACGATAGAGGCTATAGTTATTAACAGATTTTTGTCAAATTTGGTGTGGATAATTGGGGTCGTGAGAGGGTGAACCTTATCGATATTCAGCGTTCTGCGACTTTCCGTTCCGGAGAATTTAACCTTTTTCCGAAGAACCTTGTGAACGCTATGAAGGCTATAATTTTTAATGAATGGGGGCCGTGGCGACTCAGTGAGCAAGACATTGGCTGGCTTACCTGGAGGTCCCGTGGTCGATCCAGGTGTTGGTTGAGAAAGTTCATCTGGATTTTCCTACGGGGTTCCCCTTTGTCAGTGGTGCAGGACAGAGGGTCTGGCAAAGGACAGCTAGGGTCTAGAGTACACATTAGTCTGCACGTATAAGATTCCTTGACAGACAGGGACAAATGAGGTCCCTTGTACACATTAGCGTGCAGGTATAAGATTCCGTAACATTTGAAATTCGATATAAGAGTAGGCCATAGTGCCGCTATCTGGACACACTTCCCTTCACAGCACACTGTAAGGCGCGTGCTCGTCCTCATTAGCCTAGTCGGAGAAGAACCCCATTTCATTTTCTTTATGGATCTTTCTCATATTTGGCTTGAAGCATCGGGGTCATTGGTTCCTATCGATATTCATAATCCGCAGCCTTCCGTTCCTGAGTTATCCCCTCTTTACCGAAAACCGTGTGAATGCGATAGAGGCTATAGGTTTTAACAGATTTGTTTTCAAATTTATTGGAAGTAATGGGGTCATAAGAGGATAAACCCTGGAGATTAGATTTCTTCAAGGATCCTAGTTCCTTATCAACTTTGCTCAACATCCAAGTTTTTCTTTCGGATAAGCTGCAGTTGAGACAAAGCTACTGGGAGGGTGTATTCCACGCTTTGCGTGGCTATCTTTGGAAAAGCCACTGACATTATGTATTGGTTTGGTCAAGGACCCACATACTTTCGTTGTCCATACTGAAAATATTGTAACAATCACACCAACTTAATTTATTCATTTTTATAATAATGGTAATAATTACAACTATTTATTTTATTAAAGTGTCACACATCTCTGACCATCGTGGTGTACGTCACGGGGCATTCAAATACAATACACATTTCAAGAGTTGGCATTGTGGAGACGAAAACGAAATCTTTACAAACAAGTTATATTCATCGAACTGTGAAGTTTCACTCAATATTACATACGTGCATAGCCTGTAGTTTTGTAGAGCCTTTTGTAATATATAATTTGTAATGGAACACAAAAGTACAACGACATATATAATATATACAGGAAGACCAACTATCTTCTTACTGTTAGTGTTATCAGGTGGGGGGCGCAACAATTGCTATAAATTGAAGAAGTGTCATGAGTTATGGTAAATAAGTATTACTAGTCTTAGTCCTTTTCAGCAAATCGTATCTACAAATCTGGTCTATACATTAAATCTTATTGACAATCTTGTTTACACATCTTATCTGCAAAGCTTATATACAAAGCTTATATACAAATCAATCAAGATTATCTTTAAGAACTTGGTGTTAACCATAGTGGAGATAGCGAGAAGTTCAACGTTTCTAGTGATTTAGTGTTTTTAAAATATGTAATTGTCGTTTAATTGATTAATGCCAGTTTAGGACAAATGTTTGGCCTGTTAATGGCTTTGTTTGTCTTAATCTTACACTGTTTATATGAAGTTTAGGACAATGGTATATAAATGAACATTCTGTTGCAGTTGATGTTGTTCTTCTTTTCTACTGTTAATTTCAAAAGCAGTTTTAAATTGAATTCAATTATACTGTCTTAGGTCTCATACAGGATTGCTTTTTAAGTTGTGGAAAATGAATTGGACCAAAAACCAGTTCCTTTAATTTAATAGATAATTGTATAATAATATCATATGCTCTGTCAGCAGTGGTTAGAACAAATTTATCCTTTAGAATTTCTATGCATCATTTTCAGCAGAATCTGTAAATGTTTCAGAAAGAGGTCGCACTGTAGCCCGATTGTGACCTTATTGATTCTGGAATCCAATTACTTTGTCTCCATTCATCAAAAACTGGTAGAACTAGCAGTTTATCTGTTAATTAATTATTTATACATATTATTATTATGTAAACGGTTAGAAAAGTTGGTTTTATTAGGTTGTTCTAATAGTGGTTTCACAGATTTCTTAATATTTTCAATTGTAGACAAATCACATGTAATAATATAGCTAATATGTTTAACTTTATATGGCGAAGCTTTGCGATTACATTTTGCGGACTCAAAAGTTTCTGTCTACAATTATACTTCTCTTTCACAAAATTTTAATAACAGTGGTACCATGTGTAGTAGACCACGGTAAGAGTATAATGGCTATATGATGACGCCCCACATCCCGTTATGGATTGGCCCTATCACTAAATTGTAACTAAGTCATGTTATTGCTCCGTTTATTTCTAAATCATTCAACTTTCTGAGGGTTAAGTTGGGTTTTTTAAAGATCGTATAAGTCTACAAAGTCTTAAAATAGATGTATATAACAATGGACTTATTATCAAAGTTTTAAAATATGCAATTAGAGACATCATTAGTACAGACTTCATGCATTCATGAGCTAAACTGACATATTATATCCCCAGACAGTGCTAAAATCTTAACATGAAAGAATAAGGGTTGTCAGACGTCAAGATTGATAAATATATTAGGATTGTTAAGATATCTTCTTTCCAGGCATGTAAAAAGTTAATTATAAAAAGACGACGAAGATGTTAATTAATTAAAAAGGTTCGTTAATATCATGTTATCTTCTTTTATCCAATTCACTGACTTGGGAAATAATTTATAAAAGAAAAGAACCCGTAAACAATAAAGTCATAAATTTGCATTAGGAAATTTAATTCACTACCAAGCAGTCTATGATAAACATCGGTTTTTCGTATTTCGGCCATTCTTTCTGGTAATAGTAGCTTACTAATTTGTGCTATTATACGTACGTACGCGATCAATAAATTAGCCAGGGAATTTGATAATACAATCCTGATTAGAGGCATCATGTCGAAAGTACTTAATTATTCCAAAGCTTTCCGACTGACATCTAATGTTGCTTATGCTACATTCGTTTAATGTCGTAAGTTAGGGAGTGACCAAGTCAAATTAATTCACATTGTCATCATTACACATAAACTCTGACACTGCTATATATTATAAGAATTAGATGTCCGCGTGTGTGGAACTCCCATGCAGCTAATTGTGGGGAGACAGTATAACTTTTTAGCGGCACTTTTGCTGGGCGAGACCGGTACTTTTGCCAGTTTTTTCTTTTACCCTATATGTCGTTTAACTATGTCTGATGTGTAGTGTTGTGTTTTTCATTTGTGTGGGTAGGTGGGGACAAATTCAAGAACCACCGCAGACGGGGCAAACACTAGCAACGTCCA